AAGGTCATCAGCTGAACAGCCAGGCCCAGCTACAAGCCGCAAAAAAAACGTCACGCCGGTGTGAGACGACCAGAAGTGGAAGCGTTTGAACATGAAATCCGTCGTTTTCAATTGGGAAACCTCAAAGGTTGGACCCCCCCGGAAGGTTCAGAAAATAGACCAGTCTACCGGTTTTTCTGGTCTCCCTCCCTCTTCAAATACACGCCCACTGTGGGTGCGGCTCGGTCAGAACAGCGTTATTGCCATGATCTGTTGACTCGTGGAACTCGTGGCAGTTGCAGATGCCATCGGTTGGTATATTACCCAAACACTCCACCCAGACACTCCATGGGACTGGCATATGTACCTACGTTCCATGTATGGCATATATAAACAAATTCCATGTATATCCATGGGACTGGCATACGTATTTACCGATCAGGCCAGGGGTGGTGGTGCCAGAGGGGTCTGTCTGGGGCGGCAGTCCTATGACAGACATGGAGTGTATGGGCCAAGTATTGAATAATTTATATAACCCCTTTTCAACCACCCGCAATGTAGGTAAATATGTCCTGTCATTCATGGAGTGTCTGGGACAGGTAGTTCAGTGCTTTGAACTGGTACTGGAGCTTGCGTAGGCTGCGTAGGTGCTTACTGTGAGAGCGACCACAAGGCTCCACCGGAACGAGCATACACAGGCTGATATGGGAGTTGATAGGAAACAACCAAGTGGGAATTCTTGAGAAAAAGGCCCTGATGTCTGCGGTTGCACCAGTCGAAACACCAAGCCATGGAAGACATCAAAAACACTTTTCACCAATCCCAGGAGCGCCACCACAAGCGAGGATGGCCACATCTTGGCCTTCTCGCAGCTTTTGCGCCACCAAATCCAATCCAGCCTCTAGACGCTCTGAGTTTCTCATCTCAAAGACATCTCCAAAGGCTCCGCTCGCTTCCCCGTGCCCCAGGCATTGACGAAGCGTCCTGACGAACAACGAAGCGTCCGAAGCGAATCAGACCACCGGATTCACTCGTTGTCTGCCAAGACCTTTGATCTATGGGAGGTACAGTATATATATATATATATATATTGACAACTTGACTTTGACTCCCTGAACCAAAAAAAAACAACCACCTCAATGTAGGCAACATATTACCAGACATGGAGTGTTTGGAGTGGACTTGGGTTCCGTTGATCGCCCCACACCGGGCTCGGTGCACAGCGGCTCTCGCCGTGCCGAGTATCTCTTCGAACTCATTGGCACCACGCTGATCTCCAGATCCTGGCGTGATGTTTGAATCACCTGGTAAAAGATGTTGAATCACCTGGTAAAATGAACAGAATAGAGGACCTGTGATGGTGAGCCTGCCATGGTTTTGAGGGGTTAAGTTTTGAATAAAAGCCACCTCTTCACCAAACAGCACAGCTGCTACCAGCTGCTACGTACCAGCTGCCCCGTCACCACACGGACGAATGCCCGACTGCACCTGAGTTCACGAAGGCGATGATAAACCGCCGCGTGACCGGCTCCTTAGTGCGCAAAACGCTGCTGAAAGAGGTGCACATCGACTTGTGACCTTAATTCAGGGTCAATGTAGGTAAATATGCCAGTCCCATGGAGTGTCTAGGTAATAGAACCAGAGTCTTGACGACAAAAACATCAGCACATCTTCGTGGTGTAAAGGATTGGAAGCTCTGACACTAGGCGGACACGGGCATATGTATAGCTGTACATATTATGTGCAAACCATATAGGATTCCAACCAACATTAACATTGAGTCAATTGTCTTTCCGAACAGCTGTTTTTCGACGGATAGACTACAAAGCCAAATCAACCTTGTCGTTTTAACGGTCTTGTAGGGGTAGGGCAGAATCCTGGAGTAGATAGAAAAAGAAACCACATGGAACAAAGAAAAGAAACACAACACGGACAACCACTGAGTTCTGAAGGGATTGCACAAACTCTGGTACAACATCAGTCCATGTTTTGTTCTTGTTCTGAGTCGTTCTGTGTATAACTCCAAGTGGTAAAGTTTCAACAAATCCAACACCTTTCCCAAAATCAAACACATCGGCCATGCACTGCATCGACCATGTCCGCGGCAGAGATGACTGCGAAAGATGACTGGCGGACCAGGGGCACACTCCCCTGAAATCATGGCGTGGATGGCCTGGCCTCTTTCGTTCGGATGACCATGAGTTTTCTGAGTACCACTCCACTTCCATCTGAGTTATCCTCGGAGGGTAGCCTGAAGGATCACAGACCGGATGGTTGTATAAGCGATATAAGCCAAGCGACAGGTGCATGCACCTCATCACCCAGAACGAAGCTGGCACCTTGCGGACATGAAACCTTACCCTGGCCACAGAGCGTGGCCGTGTGCTTGGATTTTGGGAAACAGCGACATCCATTCTCCCAAAGAGGTCTTGTATGGTATTGTATATAATAATAACCTCTCTTTCCTCTTGCGCTTGACGTCTACAGGTTGTATAACCGCAGGTCTATGGGTCGATGGAGAAGATAGAATGACCCCAACCCGTTGTCCCTCAAAGAAAAGGTGGCCACCTGACTTTCCACCGTTCGTCTGGTTGAGTGGGGTGAAACCCAACCCCCCCAAAACAGGTTAAAGGTTATCCACTTTTCCTGGAATAAAACATGTGTCATACGACGATGTCTCGATGGAAATCACCTTCCGGGTCCGTCCCCCCGGTCTCACAAAAAGCGCGCGCCAAAAGCGCCCACGCCGAAGGAACCGCTCTCAGTGATACTAATGCAACTAACTCATCAAAGGTCTGGAGTCGCTCAGTATGTCAGGGCTCAAAGATCATCTGCTTTTGAGGTTGCGTACCAAAGAGCCTTCACAAGGTTGTGTTCACTTACGAGACCTTCTGTCAAGTGTTGATGGCCAGAACTGTCAAAGCCTAACATTAAAGGTTGCGTTACAGTTGGTGAAATGTTGATCAGGACGTCTGCAAAAAAACACGCTCTGAACATCTTGGTATCCATAGGGGGCCGAACGCATCTTCCATTTCGCATTCAAATCGGTTATTCAGTCACTACTGCACATCACAACCCCCCTTATCACCGTCCCCCCAGCGTCACCTTGTGGGAAGCGCACATTGAAACCGTCTGGGTACTCGTTGGCCGGCGACGCGGCCTCTGAGCGACCTGGCAGTTTTTTTGCCACACCGCAAATTGTTCAAAGCTTGCACATGGTATTGTATCTGCGAATGTGTACTAGGGATATTAAGCGAAGGCCGGCACTGTTGTTGAGTGTTGAAAAATCATCTTCAAAGTCCAACTGTAGGGATCTTCCTGATAAGTTATTCTGTGGACCCTTGACTTAGTGGTCCAATGACACAGTAGTTGTGAGCCACTACTCCTAAGTCATGTGTAAGGCAAAAAGAGGTACAAAATGCAGAATGGCTGAATCGAGGCTCATGAGGTGATGTATACGTTTTACAACTATCCTTTGTCACTGGCTGAGAGTATACATGTATACATTACATCAGTGACTGTTCCAATCCCGCTGCCGGTCTGGGATAGGTCAAATATGGTCAAGTCAAATGCAGCGGTCCAACATTCAGTGGATGTTCTGGGCACCCCTATCCTCCAGTAGGCATCCCTTTGTGACTCCTGGATGTCTAATTCGTCCACTTTCTGTCCTTCAGACCAGCCATGACCATGATGAGACAGTCGAAGCTGTGTGACCTTTGGGTGTGGGACATCGACCACCCATTTGTTTCCCCCTTGGCACGGCACGGCTCAACTCACCGGGACCGGACCCCAGTCCATGGACCGGGAAGGGGTCCGGACCACGACCCGTGGGCCACAGGTTTGGTGGGAAAACCACTCAGGTTCGGGTCGGGTCTGCGACTTCATCGGGTTTTCTCTTGAAAGGGCACTGAACAAGCGAACGACAAGCTTGACAATGCGGTCATCAGACACTGCTGTGCCAGCAAGTTACCATATCCTCTGCAGTGACAGTACCTCAATTCCAACAAAAAAGGCTGCGGCCGGTCCCTGAAAAGTTGTTGGTCTCTGAGGTTTCAGGGCATGTCCATCTCCACCGTTTACAATCTAAAGAAGTACTTCTAATGCCCGGATTCCGCCGCGCGTTTTCTATAGTATACTAAAGCTACCAGGGCCCCCCCATTCCGGGGCTGGTAGCTTTACACCGATTAATCTCTGAGAAGCCATTCCTTGGGGGGGGCCCTGGTATACAACTTATACATGTCATGCGCCAAAACAACATGGTTGCTTCCCGCTGTTCCTGAAGCCTAAACCCATGTTCAGCTCTAAAGTAACAGTCACCCAATTGGACAGCTTCAAGTTGTGAAAAAAAGAGTTTGGTCACCTTCAACATCAGTAGCAGCCTTTGCGTCAGCCGGGCGTCAGCCGTCCGCACGCCGGCTAAGGTCGTGTGTATGTTTTTTCTCAGCAAACAGTCCGGCCGGTCGCCTCGCAAACATTCCGAAAAGGATCTGGCTCGAGCGCCTGGAGATCTGATAGCCATTGAACGATGTGCAGAACCTCGTGGTTTTCCGCTTTTGGGACAACACCACCCAAATGGCTGTGATTGGTTTTCCTCACCATGGTTTTCCTCGCTGTTGCCAAGGTGCACAGAAACAGCCAAAAGCCTCAGCTTGGCATTTGCCAGGGCTCCAACGGTCAACGCAATCAGCTGTTCAGGTTGCTTTGGGTGGAGAAATGATGTTTGGCTTTTCGTTGTGTACTCAGTTCAGCACAACTGGCTTCGGGTCAAAACCCCAGTTCCGGGCGCCTTTGAGGCCTAGACCACGAAACTGGGCGAACGTGACCATGGAAGGTTGGAACGTGGCACGGCGTGGACGAACGAAGCTTATTTTAGACTGGCAGTGTATACCACGTGTTACTCCACGTGTTACTCTTCCTGGAGTGATCCAGGAATACAAAAACCAGCTTGAAATGAAGATCATTGAATCAGCGGGTGGCTCCGCGCCTCTTCAGGCACCCAAAGGACGAAAACATGGGTCTGCGGAAAACAGAAAAACAGGTTGTATCAGAACTATATCTAGATTATATATTGGAGAGTCTGCGTGGTCAACTATGGTCAACCTCCAGGAAGTGAGGTTGACCATCCGACAGGAACCCTATGAGAAAATCAGTTTTCTTGAATCAAGCAGTTCCAACAACAGTTTTTGCACGGAAGAATTTGAAACATGAATCTCGCTCTATATCTCCCTACTACTATAGGAATGCTTAAAGAAAACATAAGCCAGAAGCTTCTCACCTTTGTTCCTACTTTTGGTTGATTCCTCACTTCCAACCCCTTTCGATGTCGATCCCCACATGGCTCCACATGTGCTGAACACGTCCAGGCAACACCAAGAGGAAGGCAATCAGGAGGCCACCCAACTGACCGGTGCAGCCGGTGCGGAGGCTTTGGACCAATGGGTCGCTCAAGAACTGGAAGACCTCCTAGTTACCCCCTGGTTTCGGTTCAGAACATAGTCTACCCATTGGTTTTTCTGGTCTCCCTATTAATATATGTATGGAACCTGCATACTAGTATACTATACCCAAATGTGGAACATGTTTGGGTGGCGGAATTATTCAACTCAATGGACAACCAGAAGTTCTTCAACTGAAGCTCTTTTCGTCTTGTCAAGCTTGTGCTATAGTTTGTGGTGCCTGGTTGTTGACCCTTAGTTGCCAATAGGTTTATATAAATATTCAAGGGTTAAGGACAATGGAAGTTCTCACAGCTGGACGTTTGGGCTGCAAGTCAAGCAAGCGTTCCGCGAAGTTCCATCAAAGTACATGAGTCAACTCAGCTGAATCTTACAATGAACTCTCGTGAACTCTCTGTGTGTATACACATTATATATATTGAGAGAGAGACTTGTTTGTACATATGCAGTATAGTATAGTCTTGTGATTCTATTCAACTACCTTCGTGATTTCTCAGCAAACGTATTATTTGATATTCCTTGACATTTAAAAGTAGAAAAACTCTCCGTGATTTGCTGCCTTGAGGTTAGAGTAGTGGCAGCACCAGAGCATCACCTTAGTGACGCACGAAGCTGGGCAAAGCCGGGCAGCTGAAGAATGAATTGTGCCAGTTTCGGGGCAGCTGATCATCTTTACATTCCCACCAAGTGGAAGTTCCATGGAAGTGGAAAAAGCCATCTGCCAGGACTCACAAAGGGGTGGTTTTTAGTCCCTAAGTGAGTGGATCACGGGCACCCCTAACCTCCATTAAGCAGCCCCTTTCTGACTGCTGGTGGGAAAACCAGTCTTACATCGAGAGGGTGAGACGAGTGGAGTCCCCCTCCCTACGCCGAAGTCGCTGAATGACACCGCCTGAAGGCGACCTACGCCAGACCACTTCCGGTCAGCCAGGTCTTCCCCAGAATCAGGTGACCCACGGTCCGGGAAAAAGGACGAAACCCGGAAAGGACTCACGTGATTCATCTGGCTTTTGAGACCTTCCTCGGAATCGGTGCTTAGTAGTGAACTGGTGCTGACCTACTTGGTGCTGAGAATAGGTGACCTAGTTTTCTTCGATTGCCCACCATCTAGCCTAGCCATTTGGAGGAAAGCAAAAGCAACACCCAGCATGTCAAGTCTGGCATGTCTGGCATTCTGATGAAAAGTATTTCTTGGGTCTGTCCCATGACCGGTGGATGATGTCCTTAGGTTGCAGGCCGACATCAAAATAAAAGAGTGCAAGTGACAATCTTTATCTTTGACCGACGGCTCGTTCCTGCTTTACGGGGGCAGCACCCATATCTTGGGTCTATCCTAATACCATATACCTGGGCTCAGTGGATGATGATGGTTAGGTTTCAGGCCTTGTTCAAAAAAAAGTAACAATTGTTTACTGACTGTTGCAGGTAATAGGACAGACCCAACCCATATCTGGTATCTCATTTGTTCTTTTTCGATCTGGAAGTGCCCACGTGATCTGGAGGGAATCGGACACGGTGGACCCCAAGCACCTAGGGCTCTAGTGCTCCAGTAGGCCTCCAGTGCTCCAGCCCCTTGTGGTTGCCATCGGTATGGGACACGGGGGGCAAGGGTTTGGGGACACTGCACCCTCGCCGACTGCCTGTCCATGAGCCTCCACTACTAAATGTTTGTTTGATTGTTCTCACCCCTTTGGTTGCCAAAGGAGAGAACAATAGGACATCATTTTAAATGAAAGAAAGGTTGACCTGGTTTTGTAGTGTAAAACCCTTCGTCAAACAATGATTATTCTGCAACAACCCATTGAATTATTCTATGTTCTTGGCATAGCTGTTGCCTTCTGAACCCGCCAGCCACCCTGCTCCATCCGACGATCCGCCTTCCATCGGGCCCCTCGAGACCGTCCGGACTCCCGTATCGAGCGTCTCCATGCCGATCAGGACAGCAAAAGTGGTCTGGCCGTTGCAGGACGAGTCGAAGGCAGCGCTGAATGAAGCACGGAGAAAGGCGCACTGGGCTTGTGTGCGAGGTGTGGTGGAGTTGCAGCGCTGCGAGAGTTGCAGGAGACAGTCATTCCTTTTACAGTAAAGATTGCAATTTTCTTGTGTTCGTTAACCTATTATCCCAAACACACCATGGAACTGCAATATTTACCTATACACTGACCGCTGAAACCAACCCAATTGCCAATGCGCTCAATGTAGGTATACAACCGTAGAGGCTCTAGAGGTATTGTTAATGATGCATGAACATGAAATATCTTCACAAATTCTTTGGTCGGTGAATGCAAGCCATCTCATCGCCCAAGCGACGGAGCACTCCACCACCTAGACTCTAAGAGGTCAACCCATTAGTCAATGATTGTCAGCCAGAGTTGATCAGTCTGGGCACTTGCAAATCCCCCCCTTCTGCCTGGCTGCGTGGAGAGGCAGGTGATATGCCGCGTGCACTGGCTCTCATTGGCCACTTTGTGAAAACAGAACTGATCGCCTCGGACGAATGGGACCAATCGGTCGTCAGAATGCCCCAGACTTTCGCCAGTTCAGGCGGAGAATTCTTGAAAACTTGAAGCTTTTCCTGAGACGATGCCGACGATGCCTGACTCTCTAGGGTACCCCTTCAACAGAAAGCTGACCTTTATCTCCAGGTAGTGTCAAAACAGTCGGACAGCGACGCAGCGTTGTGCTGTGCACCCCCTGGGGTGGTGGAATATCTGCTGCTGCGCCTTGGCCATCACCCGTTAAGAAGCTGTGCGAGTTGGGATCTGTAATCCTGGCACAAGGGGTGGTCCATCAACAATGAGATATTCTGGGCTGCTCTCTTTGACTCTTGTATACTTTTGTGCTTGTTGAGGTCTGTGAGCGCAAGCGACTCAGGGCAGTTTGTATAGTACAGTTGACAAGTTGAAACTTCAGATTGTAGCTTGGACATGTGTTTGCATTTGTCTCCAGATTTGAGCACGTCGTAAGATGATGGGTGGGTGTGTTCCATCCATAACCCAGACACTCCATGGGACTGCCATATATGCCGCCCCATTGACCCCCCTGGCACCACCCCTGGCCGTTTCTTGGCAGTCCTATGGCAGTCCCATGGGTCGTGTCTCACGCGAGCTTGACACGAGCGACCTCAAACGGTGGGGGGACACCGAACGACCGTCCCAAGATCTCACCGACCGTCCTCAGCAGCTTGCATCGGAACGTCTTTGGAACCGATGTCTGCTCATCGGTATAGCTCCTCTGCCATCGGGCCATGGATTGGATGCGACTCGTTGTTCACTCGTTGTTCAACGCCACCTCTGGCATTGAATGGGATAAAAATTATCCAAGGGTGATGTTCTTGCATTGCCATGAGTGTCCAAGGAAAAACTAACTTGAGAGAGGAGGGGGTGAACGAAAGGTAGCAGGGAATCAGGCGTAACCCTGGAAACACTGGTATTAATGGTACTTACGGTGTTTTGTGGCCACGTTGAAGCGTACATAGCTTGAAACCATCCCAATATACAGGGTTTTGTGGCAGGAAGGTGCAGAAGCCCGTGTAAGTACCGTCGCTTTGTGCCACTTTGAAGCCTCTAAGCACCGCAAAAGCCCTTTCCGCCACAAAAAAAACCTGCAAATAGCGTGGTTTGAGGCCACTCTTGAAGATAGGAGGAGCTGAAAACATGAAAACACTGGCATTTACGGTGTTTTGTGGCCACTTTGAAGCGTACACAGCCCAAAACCATCGCAATGTACAGGGTTTTGTGCCGGGAAGGCGCACAAACCCGTGTAAATACCGTCGTTTTTTGCAATGTAGAAGCCTCCAAACGCCGAAAAAGCCCTTTCCGACAAAATCTTTCCAGGTAAAATTATTTTGTTGTCCTTCAAGCAGTCATCAGGTTCAAAAACATTTATTGAAACTTGCTTATTGTTTTCTTCAAACCGGTCTATGTCCCTATTCCCTGTAGGAAATTTAACACCATTCCAATTCAAAATATTGGCATTTAACTTGTTGTAGTGGAACATCTCTTCTGGATGATGTTTACTGATTTTATCAAAGACTATGCATTGAATACAGTATTTGAAACATGTTTGGTCTTTATTTTTTTATGTTGATACACGCCTTTTTAAGTTTAATCCATTTTGGTAGTTCTATATACCTCCCCGCTCTTGTAGGGTCATACTTATCAAAATGAATGGTTATTGAAACAATTTGTTTAAATACTAAATTGGACTGTGTGCCTTCTAAATCTTGAATTGTCAATAAGATTTGTCGAACACTATCTTCTAATGCTTGGTTTAACTCATCCTCATTATGAACATTGTAACGTGTTGCTGGTAATTGATAAAGGTGTTCGCTTGTAGCAAGTTTATTTCCTCCATCATCATATTCAGGTTTTTCAACTAAACCTTCCGTTCTGATGTTAAGTTTCTATTATTTTTTTAGGAAGTCTCTTACTCGTGATTTTTGGTGAGCAATCATTTCCAATCCTCGCTCACCTTGAAAGTGTTTATTTTCTAGTTTTATGGAATTGGCATAGTTTCTAAATGCTGACTGGACATCATTTACTCTGAATTTATTTCGTATTGCCCTCCTTGTTAATAATACGTTTGCTCGTCCAAGGGTGTAAGCATCCTTTGCTTTGTTTAAGGCATAACTCCTATACTCGATTGTATTTCTGATTGATTTAAGTTCTTTATTTAAGACATTTGATATTTATGTTGCTTTATTGTATCTAAATGTCCTACCATCTATGATTATTTGCTTTAATTCTTTTCTTCCTCTCTTAGGTATTTCTGCTAAATCATTATTTAATAGATAATCTATATGTTTTTTCATCATATAATACTCTATATACTTTGTCAAGTCATTTAATCTTTAAGTAGTTTTTATGTGAATGATAATTTGTTCTTTGAATTTGTCTGTATTTAGGTCTTCTGTTCTGTTCTTTGTATTGTTGGTTTGTTGTTCTGTTTTTCTGGGAAGTGTGTGATAAGAATTCTTAGGAAATACATTTAAGAAAATGATATCTTATATTTTGATGGAGAGACTTTGTAGATATTGTGTCAAAGATTTACCTATTGATAATTTTGAAGAAGGGCTTAAAACTTGTAAAAAAATGCTTAGAATATAAAAGAGCAAACGTGATAAACCGGATAAACATATGAGATAAAGTAAATGAAGCACAAAGAAAAAGATATGAAGAAGATGAAGAATATAGAAAAAAGAAACTGGAACACAACCATAAATTTAATCTAAAAACCATTACCTGTTCTGTTTGTAATTGTTCAATAAGGCAACAATGTTACTCAAGACATCTTAAAACAAATAAGCATCAAAGAAATTTAGGCAATGGTCAGTAGATAGGATTTGATAAAAATGAATAAGGTAATGATGCTTTGACTGCTTTGATTATATAAATTGAATAAGGTAATGATGCGTTGACTGCTTTGATTTTATAAATTGAATAAGGTAATGATGCTTTGACTGCTTTGATTTTGTAAATTGAATAAGGTAATGATGCTTTGACTGCTTTGATTTTGTAAATTGAATGAGGTAATGATGCTTTGACTGCTTTGATTTTGATATGGTTGATTAAAATGAAGAAATCAACCATATTAAACATCTGGTTTTATCCTGTTTCATTTTATTTTCAAAAACTTCACTCAATCAACTTTTTTAACATTTTCTTGGCCCCCCCCCCTCGGCCCTTAAAAGTAAATGTCGGAGGCGATTTCTCAGTGAGATGGGTGTCCACTCTGGTTATAATTCATGTTTGCTAAAGCAAAAGGAAAACTCAGGTAGCGTAACCGCTACCTAAATCGTGATTAGAAAAGACATGAAACTATTGGAAGACGATGGGATACAATGTTCAATCGCAATGCAGTTTACTTTTCTATCTGAATCTGTCTCCTCACGATCGCGACGCCAACCAAATCAGCCGAGCGACGCTTGAAAGCCTTTGCATTCTGGACGAGTCTTACATTCCTCGCAGCGGAAGTTGATCACACCGGGATGCACTTGGAAAGCACCCAACACCATGAGTGTGACGTCATTGGGAGGGACCCATTCTCCAGCTCTTCTTTTCGGGAGGGACCCATGATGCGATACCACTCCTATCTCCATGAATTCAGTGTGCACTCGCTGAACAAATGCTCCTCTCCTGCCTTTGTGATCGTGCATCGAGCAGCCAAGAGTCATAGACACAGTCGGACACATTGTTCCTTTCTGGGTCCTTGACCATTTCCTGCATGTGCCGGTTCAGAACGGCGCACCACCGCGAAGAGAGTTTTCCTTTATATATATATATATGTTAGGTCATGTTGGTTCATACGAAAAATGCTTACCCAAGTCACGTGCGTATCTGAACACATCTGCACATGCCCCTTTCTTCACCCTGGAAGATTAACATAGCACCTGAAAACCACTGGGTTGTAGAGGAAAATCGTCTTCCAGTCTGGTCCATGCCATCAGGTTCCATGTGTGTCTCTTCCCGGGAGTAGAATCTGTGGTTTTACATGCGGAAGTCCCAAGGTACCACCCGGCACTGCGCTCAAAGCGCAGCTGCACTGCGACGCGACGCACCGGGACTGATGGGACCATGTCACATGGTGGGACCGACTGCGTCTCCTCTCCCTCGGACTTCCCCCACCCGGAAGCAGACCCTCTCCAAGCTGGGACGGATCCAGAGGCATTGGATGATCTGTTCTTCGGCAAACATCGTCCGGAGGATTCATCCATATTCGAAAATAGATGAATCCTCATATATGGATGAACATCCTCATATACCCGGTTCATTTAGATGACCATCCATGTCCTTCATGTCGCAGCCCTCGCTTGAGCCTCGAGGCGCCGCGCGCCACGCGGACGCCGCCTCAATGGAGCAGCCTTCGCACATGCAACTGCCCTGCGATGCATTGAAGTCCCACAGGTCCTCACGCTGCGCCACAATTGCCGCCACAATTGCCGCAGGGCGGCGTGTAAGCGGCGTGTACAGTGGCTCAAAAAACATCCTGCCCCCGCCCCACGCCCAAAAAAGAATCCACCCAGTAGTTGAACCGTGCATTTCAGCCACTTACCTCCTTGTCGTGGCCATCTACCCCCGGAAAACTGACAGAGTGGGCTGACAGAGTGGGCCGCACCGCTCCACCCAAAGGCAACCATCAAAAACTTTTGACAGACTGGGACCGGTGCCTGATGCGCAAGCGGCAAGGCATTGTCTTGACAGACTCAGCTTGAGTTTGAAGCACGCTTTACTGGTGCTTCGACTGCAAGTACTTGGAGTTGAGTCCAGACGAGAAAGCGAGAATGTCTCGTCATGTTCTCTTGCATGGATTTAAACAGTTCATGTTTCACTGCACTTTTGATGATCCGCTGATATAATAACAATTATATAACATGGCAAAGTTGAAGACAGCACCTCACTGAAGGAGATGAGCTAGCCAGCACCTTCCTTTCGGGGTCTCTGGGCTGGACTACCCTACACTATCTATGGATCCAAATATCCATTCATGGAAGTGGACAACCCCAGTTTGGACAACCCCCAGGTTTGGCACTGCCCCCCAGAACAGCCATCAACACGTTTTCCGATATTTTCCCTGCAAAATTCAAAAGACCTTGGATACGTTGCTTGACCGATGTGAGTGGCCTTCCGACATGCCTCCTTCGTAGCTACCAGAGTGCTTTCTCGTTAATTCATCTGTGAGGATTTACATGGATTTACCCTCATTGTGTGTGCATCTGTGTGTACGTTACTTTTACTTTTGGTTTGAGTAGAAGAGGCGGTGACTTTCAGGTTTTCAACATCTGTTCTCCATGTCTCCCCCGTTCATTTCCTCACCTGTCAGACGTCATCTTCGCAACAAGGGTCGGTTCCAAGGGGCAACCCGTCCATGCACTGTAAAAAGGAAGACCTCCCTATGCGACCCCTGGAAGATGGAGGGTACCAAAATCATCCAAATCCGAGGGATCCCCTGGAGAAATACATCAACCCATATGATCACGCAAATATGGAGATCGTCAGTTGACCAATCAGGCAGAAATGGTGTATCCCAGGAACTGGGAAGATCAGTGTAGATCAATCACAGAAGGGGCCAAAACCTTGATCTCGAGATCCTGAAGCTGCACGTCCAGCAAACCAAAAACGCAGAACCCCCTCACACTCTCCACATGGGGCCCTCCACCCAACTCTCCTTGCAATGCAATCGCCCTCGGTCACACATGGGGCCTCACCGGCCAGCTCGCTGCAATGCTTCTCGTCCGCACCGTGCCAGGTGTTCGGTGCCGTTTCGCCGGCGGTGGCACGTGGGGCTTGGGGGTGTCATCTCTGCACCACGAGGGGCACCGAGGGGCACGGGATCCACAACTGAAGCGTTTTGACAAAACCACAACGGCGGGCTTTTCCTGCAAACACCCAACCAAGGGGTTCCATGTCTCAACCTACGTCCACCAATAGGTGTGAGATTTTCGAGTACGTTGGATCAAACATGATCAAACTGGTGTACATGGCCAGCACGTTTCTCAGAGGACCTGATATCCGCAGGTTTATTTAGGAGAGAGACAGTCTTGTATAAGAGGGGCCACGTTACCATGTTCCATGTTTATGTTGATCAATGATCATCAATGTTCATCACCAAAAGGACTTACTCTTTGATGCTGTGTGCTTTGGCTATCTTTTCTGTGCAGGGGTTCCCACGTGTGTGTCCAGCGTCAACGGTCTCACATGATCGTGTGGCGCAAGAGGTATACAGTATACAGCACACATGTCCACACCGTGAACCAAACCGAAAGTCCATGAAAAAAAACAACTTCTACAAAGCAAACCAAACCGATTCGAAGTGTCAATTCCGATTCCAACCGAAACCGATACGTGTCCTTTCTACCTGCTACCGGCTGCGGCCATTCCACCAGCGTGCATCCGGCTCAAGTGATTGGCACCAAGTGGCGTTCAATGGGACAGTCCCAATCCTCACGACATTGACCTCACGCCGTTGGGCCCGGTCGGGGTGGGTCGACCCGGTCCTTACGGCATCTGACCCCAAGCGATGCGAAGCGCCCCCAAAACGGGTGTCATCTTCAGGGGTCAACAGGGCCAGTAGACTATTTTATGGGTGTGGCAGCACTGCTGCAAAATCTAGGCTTCATGGCATACCAGCTTGAGAGGTCTTTGACCTGAACCAGAACCCTACTGGAGGACTAGATCAAAGACCTTGCTGTAACTATCATCATGGTATATGTCTTCTATCATATCCCATACAATTCTATCCAAAGATAGCAACATACTATTTGGGGCGCTCCGTGAAAGCTCATCAGTCACTGGATCACCACAATATGATTAAATATCTGATCAATATCCGTCCTGGTCCTCTCCCTTCCGCTTCCCCTCATTCTGATCCTCATCCGGCCCACTCCAGAGGCCAAACAAAGTCTCTGCATTTCGTCCTACAGCTCGCTCTTTCAAAGGGGAAGTCTTTCATTTGGGAGCCAATGTCTATGCAAAATTCCTGAGAGGAGTAGAAAATTCCCATGTCTTTCCGGGTTCTTCATGGGTTCTTGACGCCCTTCGTACGAAGAGGTTTTTCAATCCAAATGGGGCCCTTTGTTTGAAATCAAGAGTCGCCCTCGAAACATCCAAGCGACTGGTGTCATTGATCTCGCCCTCCTGAAACGAGGGCCAGATAGCGGAAGTACAGTACAGCTGTCCAAAAAAAGAACACACACAATCCTCACTGATACTAAATGGTGGGTTAGATCACTAGGGGTTAGATCAGTAGGGATTAGATCCCCGATATAAAGAAGCATTCCGAAATTCATTCTTTCATCTTCCAAATCCCGCTTCATAGGTCAAGATTGATTGAAGGGGGGTTGTCAGTCATCCATTCGGCTTTTAGTCAGTTCATGCGGGTTCAATTGATTTCGATGCCAAGGGGGCTGAGAAGCAAACACAAAAAACATCTCCCAAACCATCCATGTATCGAATAGCTACTTACATGAGGGTCATGAATGGAGTCAATGTATGCAACATTATGCAACTGTTCCCATGGATGGTCTGGGTATATAGTCAAAGATCACCGAACACCACCGTCAAGTTCAGTTGTGATCTACCATGGATGTGTTGGAAGACTTCTTTTTCAAAGCAAGTCGCTTTGGGCAAACCAAAGACCTGTCCACGTACCCCTAGGATCCCCTAGTCTACTGCGAGCCATCTGGTTCAATACGTTCATACACACGAGAAAACGTGAACCGGTGGAAGTGTCTCATCTGCTTCGACCAGGTCTTCCGGCGAGTCTTCCGCCAAGTCCAAGGCCTGCACACGCTGAAACTCCACGTCGCCCAGGAAGGAGACCTGGGCGTGTTTTCACTCCACTTGCCGCTCGGACAAATGTTTGGTAGTTTGTTGGTTGGATTATGTTGGGTTGGTTAGTTTTTTGGATGGATGGCTTGTTAGTTAGTTGGTTGGCTAAATAGTTTCTGGTGAGTTTGTTGGCTGGTTGGTTAATGTTTCTTGGTTCGTTGGCTGGTTCGTTGGTGAGCCAGTTGAGCTAGTTTGACTTCAGAGTTGATTGGCTTGTAAGTTGCAACATATGTTTCATGAAACAAGATGAAACAAGTCGGAAAAAGGAGTCATGTCCTTTCCTTTCCTTTCGAAAAAACGCAGTTCCTCTTCAGTTCGGTCAGCGACGTCTCAGTGCTTCGGTTCTCCGGATGGACGGAGCTGAGATGTGGCCCGAATGGCTTCTTCCACTCAGCCGGACTAGTCGGTGTCATGTTCGAGAGCATCTGTCATGGAGGGTGCCATGGAGATGTCAGACTTGGTTGGACTGTCATAGATGCCTCCCAAGTCAACTCCCTCAGACCCCTCAAAACATCTCAAAACCCCTCAGACCGGTGGCTCTCAGGACGTCCCTGGGCGTCCAAAAGCACCACGTTGCATTCCGTCGTCCTGCTTCCCCCCAGTCCCAGCCCCCAACAGCGGCGACTGGATCCCTGAATCGTCGTCCAAAACGAGGTGGAAAAGCACATCGCTTGGTCTCACAATGAAATGCAATGAAGGTGCCCAACACAACAGTCAACAAAAAGATGAGCAAATACCATTTATACCGCCCATATAAACCCGGCCCAATGTGATCAAATCCGATGTGGGAATTTAGGGAGTCGCAGCCCAGCTGCGCCGCCGTCATGGGCTGCGAAGGTGAGGGAAAAAAGGGTCACGAGGGCGGCGATGGAAGCGCGCATGCCATCGCGATGGGCGGCGAGATGAAGGAGAGTCAACGATGTATTTACATGTCACGATGTCATCATGTCGAGGTGACGCTTCTGTTCTTTAGATTGGGCTTACTGTAACAGTTCCCTATGAGAACATGGTATCAAGTCGCTGGCCTCTTATGAAACCCACCAAAGAAATGAGCCCACGGGCCTGGACCCTGGATTAAGCATAAATCCTACAGTAAATCCTTTGGATCTAGCTGGTACCTGAAACTAGAAGGGTTTAATTTTGGCCTCGGTTGTCTGCTTTCACATCACATTTCTTGCAAGGCCGCAGCTGCAGAGTTCCTGGCATTGCTGGTATGACAAATTCCTGGATATCCCTTACACTGAAAGCCCTGAAAGACTTGAACAGTTCACAAGACTTGAACTGGAAACTCACTGGCAAACATCAAGGGCATGGCATGGTATCAAAAAATATCCGAGCTTCCTGTCTCCAAAGCGGCTAAGGCGTTGGAAGGCGTTGGGGTTTTTTTGGTGGACTCGACGTGTTTGGCTTCGACGTGCCAAAGACCCACGACGCTATAGGTAGCAAGGACGCTACTAAATAGTAGCTAGAAGCTAGATTGGAGGCGACCCACATCCACTTCTCCCTTTTTATGTCAAATCATTGGGTCGACATGCTTCGACCGCAGGCGTCGAATGAGCCCGAAAACTGGTTCCCCTCTGAGCTGATCCGCGTTGACGACTCCAGAGTCAAATCCGGCAGGCCCCTCTAGAGCTCTCAACCATTCTCAAGTACAGCATCCAAAGGGTGTCAAAGGTTTTAAGATCTGGACAAGGACACTAACCAAAAATCTGTAGTCAGCGAAGGTAATGACAATGCATAATACGGTAGCCATACTGAGTTGCTAAATCCATCTGAACCCTGTGCAGCCCTGGGCATACTGTTTAACCCATATCATAATAGATATGAGAGAGGATGGTTCAACCTTTGCAGGCATGTCGTGTTTTGGTGCACATGTGTTTCCCTCCAACTGTCTATTTCTTCAAAGAACTGAGGGGGGTAGCCCGCTGATACTTAAAGCAATTGGTTTTCTAACGGAGAAGACAAAACACCTCACAACCAATTAGGTCTGTTGTTTCCTGGGTGATTCCCTGACTCCCCTGCTACTGACCCCAGCAAATCCAAACTGGGCTAATTATAAAGGTCCATTAGGTCCGTGATGCTTTATGGAACACACGGAGGCTTGTGCCCGGCCATCTAGGACATCCCCGCACGGCACTAGACCCAGAAGGTCGAGGATCAATGCACCACTAGCGCCAAACGTCGTAACGTGGTAGTACTCGGGTCATAGTTGTAGTGAACATTGGCCTGCTGAACTGACATCAACTGACTGTCCGCCTGATTAAAATGAACACCAAACTGCTCTCTGGGCATGACCACATCCAAGTGGTTCTGACGAATAGGACAGCTATTGCGCGTCCCTGTCGAAGCCCGGCGAAATGCTGCGAAAAACATCATGCATCGAAGATGTCTGCAGCTGATGTTCAATTCGTAACATACAGCTTGGGCCACAAAATAGCACCTCTGAAGCCAAAGTTGCAATCCATGAGAGTATCGAGTTTGATAGCTGGTCACAGTGCATTTCAGAAGTTGCAAACGTGTGTTTTCGAACACGAGCCACAATCCTAGCACTCTGAACTCCCCAATACATTGAACCCACCTCAAAAAGGATGCCTTGTTTCTGAATTTAAGTCTATTATGTGTTCAAACCTGCCGAAACCAAAACCCGTCCTCCAAAACAGCAAGTCCTCCAACGAGTGCTTGACTTGACTCGGGGCGTGCTTGGCTACACCGCTGCAAAGCGCCCCAGATGTCGAACAAAGGTCTCCATACGTCAAGTCGACATGGGTCATGTGAATTGGGATCCAACTCCCAGTCCCACTGCATGGGACTGCAATAGGACTGCCGAGAAACGGCCAGGGGTGGTGGGGGAGGGGGGGGTCAATGTAGGCAACTATTGTGGCATACAACGAGTGTTTGGAATTGTTTTTTCATGGACGCTGCCTTCCAGTTTCTTCCTCTGGATCAGGGAGGGAACTTGTTTGGGACAAAGAGAGCATGGTGAAGGCCGTTGAGAGCGCCCCCCAGTTCCGGTCTTCTTGTTGTCTCATTGTCTTTTCCATGACGTTTCCTCTTTGGTGGTATCTCCCTCGACCCCACCCACCGAGAATGCCTCAACATCAGTCAACATCAGTCAATCACCACATCTCAGTGTCCCTGTCAAAAAGCCGACCAAAGTGGAACTCAACAACTTCCTGAACATGGTCGGAGTGTCTAGAATGAACGCCCCTTCTGTTGTGGCCAATAAGGGGCAGTTTGGGATAGTTTGGGCCTAAGACTAAGACGACTAAGGCCCATGCTAGGTTTGGTTCAGAGGTCTCTCGAACGGCCGCAAGATTGGTTCTTGATGGAGTACCACAGCAGAAACATTGCAGCTGCTGAGGTGTTTGGACATTGGGAGGAGCTCATCCCTCAGAATCTCTGCACTATATAATGTAGTCTAAAGTGCTACGAATGTTCCCCTAAGACGACATCAATGGTGAATGTAACCACAGAGGTTGGGGACTGTCTGAAAAAGACTTCTATATCGACCCTCCGGCTGCACTCAACAATTCTCAGCCTCCTCCCAGCCCGCCCTCCGATTCCCAGCGCGCAGAGGCTCAACGGATTCCCCCGAGCCGGTCTTGGAGGGGTCACCCCGCGTCGACTCACGACGCATCGGCGGCCTATCTTGAATTGCACAAGGAGCCGCTGCCTACCCCAGATTTTAAACAAGTTCCTTCTGGTTCAATGGTTGGAAAAAAAACAAATGGTCTGAGATCCTATCGGATCATCCAACAAGAGTGGTGTACTGGCAGGGGTAGGACGAACGAAAAGAGAACTCACAGCATTCGGACCAATGCGGGCCACGAAGACTGTCAGGTCTTCCAAGCACTACAATCACAGTGCAGAATCTTCATTCAGCAGCATATGTAGTTTTTGCCCCATCAAGCAGCGTAGGGCAGCGTAATGAGAAGTCTCCCATGAATTCGCTCATGCAAGTAATGTGGTCTCCGGATCCATTTGAGGAGACCAACATCAACCGCGGGGGATGGACTTCTTCATGTGACTTCTTCATCAACTGCGGCCAATTCGCACATGAACTGGGAGGTACCATCAGATCACTGGGGTGTTGCTTGCTCCAAGGCTCCAGTCATACCTAACCTGAGGAGGTAGTTACTTGGAGCCCTAGGGATGAGTAAAACTTACGCATCAAAGCCGTGCAACATTGAGCCACGGTTTTCCAAGTCTAGCCAAGTCTTGCCGTCTTCTGCCTGTCATCTCACATGAAAAAGCCCGCGTATTTTCCTTTACAAAGGATTTAGATACTGGAGTTACTGGACTTGACAGCTGCGCTTGACTGCACCCTCCGTAGCGACAGCGCTCGAACAAAACGACTGGCCGCATGTCAAGACTTCTCAGCGAAAGACTCATCAAAACCAGGTTGTGGTGAAAGTGGAGTTCTTCCATCCATGTCAGTTGCATACTTCTATACATACCAGCCTTTTTGTGACCCCTGTTTTGGAGGAACAACTATCCCAAATATGGTCTTGTCCTATCAAAACAGACGAAAACAGAGGTCAGTCAGGCTCTAGGTAACTATATTTAGTCAATTCCATACGTGGATGGTCTGGAAAAATGCTTGATGTGTCCCACATGCTCGGAGAGCCTCCTCCAGGCCTCCCAAACAGGTTGTCTCCGGTGCATCGGCAGGTTGTAGTCCCCCCCTTCCAGGGGCTGATAACTCAGGGGTCTCCCTATTCGAATACACACCCATTTAGTGATCAAAAAAGTGTGTGTCCCCAAAAGAAAAATTGGCCAGTCCGCCGTGGAAGAGAACGGAGGAATGTTTGATTCTACGAACGCTGGGTAAAACAATGCATGTTGAGTGTGCAATTCCCACCTGGAATCAAAAGGGCTTTAGTATCCTGAACATGAAACCTTGAAGGCTATATAGCTCTCTATGAACTGCTGGTTTGGGGACCCATCTCACATACATAGCTGCATAACTATATACATGTGATGTTTGGAGGATTTCTACCAGGGTCCAAAAGCATCAATCCACGTTGGTCCTTCTGACTGCGTCAAAACCTGGACCCGGAATCACTTGGGTCAGCCATGCACATTTCAGGAACCCCAAGCCTCGTTGCCTCGGGCTAGTCACTTCATCTGGGAGGGGCAACAATCTGCTTTCTTCTCAGCTGTCATCTTGGGCTCGCGGCTCGAACGCCAGCACGGTCCGCGCTACTCGGGCTACTCTGGCCACCCGGCTTGACAAGCCGGTTTTTGGTGGGATGACACCGTGTGCGAGAAAACCGGACGCCAATCCCGTTGCATACAAGCGCATCCCAGTGATGTCCATTCATCGGATGTGTGTGTGTGTGCTATGTTTGTTGGTCGGATGTTTGACTGATTGTATTGTTTCTCTGAAATACCAAACAATGGTGATACCGTGATAGCCATGAATCTCAAGACCCCTTTAAGATACCGCTATCGCAAAAGAGAAAAACACGCATGTCTGGATGATCTGCACTTACGTACGTTCAGGCCGGGGAGATGAACGAAAGCTAAGTAGGGACCAGTAGGGACCATCTTCCTTGCCTTTAGCAAGAGGGAGTCCAGCTAGCTGAGGAAGCCCCGCAAGCCGTGATTTCTCAAGTCACTGTTTGCAGTGATTGATGTCCCAACATCAATTCCACCAGGATGACTTAATGATGCACACACCTGACAGGAGCACATATCATATATGTCAGTACAAGAACCCTTAGAAAGATGCATGTTCCTTGGGTTCATTGTGTCGAGTGGCCTTTCACTATCAACACTGAAGATCCTAGCTCATCGGCGCAGCTCAGGATCTTTAGACTCTTCAAGTTTGCTGCTGATCAGTTTGACAGGTATAAACCGACCATTGATTCGGACTCCTGGATCTCCTCTAGTTCCATCAGCGACCTCCTCTAATTCCTTGTGACCCAACCATACACCTCTGGCGGTTTGTCTAGCGGCTGTTTCACCCATAAAATGACACGTTTTGGGGTGCGACACTCTCTACGAAAAGCCACAGTGACCCTTTTAGGCATCCCGGCATCCCATTTTGACATACCATGTGAGTCTGAGGGTATCTTCTTGCTCTCCTGTCATGAAGACGCCTTGCCTTGCTCTTCTTACTCCCACAAGTAGCCGCGATCCGATGTGGCCGTGTCACCACGGTATCATCTGCTCTTCACAGAAGCCCAAGTTTGCATCTCAGATGCCAACGCTTGCATACTCTTCATACAATGCCAAGCCTAAGCATTCAGCTCGATACAGCTTGTGCCCAGATGTGCCCAGTCTTCTTCCCAGAAAGAAAGCGGGTTTTCAGAGACCTCATCGCTTGGGACCTGGTTTCTGGTGTGGGGGCCGGGTATAACAAGGACGCTACGCACGGGGGAGGCCATTGCCATTAGGTTGGAGGCCCTCGCTACGAACGGAGCAAGAAGCTACAAATACCCAGACACTCCATGTATGCCATATATGCCTACATTGACCCCCAAAACCACCCCAATGTAGGCATATGTGCCATACATGGAGTGTTTGGGAATTGATTTGTTCGTCTTCAGCGAAGCGGCGACCGATCTCTCCGTGTCCGTGGCAGTCGCCGCTGCCCATCCCGACGGTCCGAGGCCCTGGTGGAAGACACCCACATGGAAGCAGAAAACCACTGGTGCAGCTGGAAGAAGCGGATTTCTTCCGTCCAGAAAACTGGTTGCAGGTCTCTTTTTGGGTGTCTCGCGGACGGCAAAACCACTCGTTCTTCGCGAAACACATGGCCATGGTGGAAAAGGATGGCATGGCCGGAAGACCATGAAATCCTCCCCGGTCCACTGATCCCCTTGGTCCAACTACGTCGCACATCGAGGAAAGGTGCTGCAACATGCTACTATGTAAAGAGAATAGAAACAGAACAAGCAGCCGACGGTGCATTACCAAGCTGATCTAAATGAGTCAGAATAAACTCTCTGAATAGATTCGATTTCAACTAATTACTGTTGCGCCTCTGGCCACTCATGTTCAGGCAGCACTTGATCCAAGGATGATTTTGTGGCACTGATTTTCCGAGTGGCTGAAAAGAACGGACCTACGTTCGAAAATCTCACTCGCGCAATGAGAAACCGTGGGATCAAAAAACAAGTAGTGAACTCAACTTTGATGTGCATGGGTATACTAAAATACGTAAAATAGGGAGACCTCCCAAACACCCCTTGGAAGAAGGGAAAGAGACCAGTCTACCCATTGGTTGGGGATCTTCCTAATGAAATACATTCCATGTTACTTTGCCAAGAAGCCTCGTCTTCCAGGATAAGGCCCGTCTGTTCATCGCCGGTGGTTTCTACACCTCAAACTCCGGATACGTGATCTCCGCAAAGCTTGGGTGAACTCGGGGATGTTCATAGCAGCCCCAGGAATATCAAATGTCACGTTCAGTCTGGTTGTTCACCAAAGCAACAAATCAATTCCCAAACACTCCATGTATGGCACATATGCCTACATTGGGGTGGTTTTGGGGGTCAATGTAGGCATATATGGCATACATGGAGTGTCTGGGATTGGCCCACTTCTGCCGCATTCGACGATTGTCCTTCCAAAGGACATCTTGGTGGCCGGTGCTTTTGGGCCTTTTCTTGTGTCGATGGTACCATGGCATGATATCGCATGCGCCACTACTTCCCATGTTCAATTCTCATCATAGCTAAAAGTATCAAAAAGTGTTCAACGTGTTTCATTGATGGTGGTTTTGTCAGGCCATTTCGGGGTGGTTTTGAATCCCTAAGTAGCTGGATGTGCTGCACGGCACTCCTATCCTCCAATCGGCACCCAACTATATAACTGGAACTGCTTGTTGCATCAATTCCTGGGCTCTGCCAATTCCCCTGCGGCCAATGGACCGAGTCTCAACTGTCCATGAGGGCTTTCTCTTTCGTCGGAAGTGAAACTGTTTCGCGAAAAGAGCTCCTAGTAGCGTCCTTGTTCCTATAGTAGTGAGGTCAGGAGCCCCGTTCGTAGCGTCCTTGCTCCTAGTAGCGATGCCAGGATCCCCTAGTAGCTTTCTTGATGGTTTAGTCTCGCGAGATGCAACCTGGTTCACTGTTCAGTCATCAACACTGTGTGGAGTAGACTTTGTCCAAGTGCAGCTTACAGGGCAGGGAGAAACTACACGCTCTATGGGCAGCTTGAGCGTAGATCGGTTCCGACCAGTGAGGAATGGATCATTTCGGCCCAGGCATGCCCAGGCCCAACCCTTTGCTACATGAGTGTGTTTAGCCTCGACAGTCAGGCGATTCTGGTGCAACAAAAGATGACCTGACCCCAGTTCACGGGGTCAGAAGGTGTCCAAAAAATGCCAAGGGTTGAAAAGGTTTACCATGGTTTAGCCGCACGCTTTTCACTGGATCGCCGATCCTCCTGAGGTCTGAAAAAAGCGGCGGAACGCCCGGCTTCGCCGACCCCGCGCGAGTTCGCATGGAACACGCGGCCGAACGACAGTGGTTTTCCAGTCCAAGGATCGGCAAATGAAGTTCCAGGGAGCTAATGTAATCGCCTTGGCCGTCGGCAGTTTTATGGGCCCCATACGGGCGCCCCATGGTGAAAATCATCCAACGAGCTGAAGGGTTTGGGGTCCCTTTTTGAAGGTCCCAGTGAAAAGTTCTAGAACTATGAGGGTGCTTCAGGATCCGGCGGCATGGACCCCAGCAAATCCGAGTTTACCAGTATTCTGATTACATACCATACCCAGACCTTGATTCTTCGCATCCTTTATTTCTATCATATCCTCCTTTGATTCCTTTTCACGCCAGCCATGTCATACATCTGAGACCATGCAAATCACTCTTCCATACATGGATAGTCGGGGACGTCGGAAACTCGTGCGTCCCATGTGAACTCCTCCAGTTCGGCACTCCCAAAGCTTGCTCGCGCGTACACAGAAAGAAGGACACATGAAGAATGAGGAAACTCATCACGCAGCCGAACAAGCACCTGCTGTTTGCACTTTGCGACAAGGCCGAGTGGAGGTCCAGTGGCCTCTACTGAGCCCGAACCACAAACAAATAAACAAAAACCTTCGCACAACCCCAAACCTTCACGCACCTGCGCCCCAACGAAGGACAAGTCATGGGAGGCCCGGAAAAGCTGGGCCTCGCCGCGAGACATCGCGAGACGGCTCTCTTCTCCGCGGGGAGCTCGGCGGAGCTCGGCTTCGAGAATCCTCATCCACAGGAAAGATCACGATGAGGTCCGTGGTGACTTTAGAATACTTTCGGTAGCAACCACTTGAACGACCCCTGTAGACGTCATAGATACTACTTCAAACTTACAGGAGAGTTGTACACCAAAGCGGATGTTTATCCACACCGAAGTGGATTCATTGGGGATGATCTAGTCATATCTAGTATTCAGTATTCAGTATTCAGCTTTGCCACACCAGACCTGCCATGGCCTTCGCCTCTGCCGCCGAAATCATTCGTTCTTCACCCCCCGCGGGTCCGGCCTCCAAGCGGCTCTGCATATCCCAGCGAGCCAGGAAGGGCGCTTGCCACCAGGGCCTTGGGCGGGCGAAATAGTTCTGCGGCCGGGGGTGGTACCAGAGGGTACAAAGGACCTTAGGACCTTTCGATCTATCCAAAAGCACCGGAAAACCATGGAAAAGCATGGAAAGTAGTTGTCACAGAGGAGTGGTTTTGGGCTCGGATGTGACAGGGATGATGCAAACATGTGCTGTGAAGGTCAACAGGGTCCTTGGGTTCGGTTTTCTTTGAGTCACATCTAAGAGGATGATCCACAAAGATGGGATGGAACAAGATGGGATGGCGTGCCCAACGAAGTTCAGTTTCCTTATAAGAGGACTGTTGTTTTTTTCTCGGTGCGAGTGGGAGTGTAGCTCCAATTCCTGGATGGTCAACCTTCATCACTAAAGTGTCAAATCAGAAGATGAAAAGCCAGTCATGTCCGGCGAATCTCTTGAGTCTGCAGTTCACAAGATCTGACACTTGGTCATGCTATGACCACGAGCTTGCGTGAGTTCTGACAAAGACAGATTCGTTTCATCTCGGTCAGGGTGTATCATGCAGCAAGCACTAAGCGCGGGTTGTATGTACGAGTAGTATGATTCTTCTGGATCGTTGGGTTAGCGATGAGTCGCTTCACGATGGTAGTTGGATCAAAAAAGGTCAGAAGAATAAACACAACCATGATGGCGTCATGAGCCCAACCCGGCCCAACCCCCAAGAAACATATGCAACAAACATGAACAGACATGAACAGGAGATTCCTGTGGTTTATGTCCAAACACGGGATGTCTTGTTTCGATCGTCCAGTGCATTGAACCAAGGACGATCGATCCCCCACACATCGGTATAGCGTCCCGTGGTGCTTTTGGGTGCGTTTTGAGTCTCTCCAGGACGCGCGTTTGGAGTCACAACTCAGTTGCCACCTGGTTTTCTTCGCGCCAACACGGTCGTGATCTTCCACCCGAAACAATGGAAGTTGTCCTTGAGGAAGGACTCGACCCTAATTAAAGACCAATCCACTCGTGGTTCTCGTGAACGGCTTAGATGTACTCGCACTTTCTGCATCCGTCCACAGCATTCTCATATGGGTGTGTATTAAAATGGGGAGACCTCCCCAAGACCCCCTGGAAGAATGGAAATAGACCACATCACTGGTTGGGCGGTCTCCCTAATAAGATACCCACTGGGCCCATATATATGTCCCTCATGTATGTACCCCACATGACGTGCTCCGGTCCCACCCCCCCGTTCCGCAGGCGTTCGGAGGACCGGGCGGATGCACCCCGACGGCCACCCCGACGTCCTCCGGTTTGGCAAGGAACCTGCTTGGTCCAAAGTCGAGCGTCGAAAAAAAAGAGGAAAAAAAACATCAAGTTGGTATAACCTCCATGAATGCGAAGTGACCTAGAATGAGTCAGGGTTTGTAATTATTGGGTTGGTGAACCATTCAGGTGTTTTCTACCAGCACCACTTGGTATGTGCTTCATCCAAACTTCCGAATCTGTTTCGGATGAAGGGCGCGTCGAAACGCTGTCATGACTCGCGGCTGGTTTCAGACCGGATGCGAAAAACTGGCCAAGGGACGCCTTGTGTATACTGTGAATGCGGGCGAGCTCCACCTCCGCACGATGGGCTGTTTCTATGGGGGAACAGGGCTTGGCGGTTCTAACGCCACATTCATTGTGTTTGACCCTTCACCTTGGAATCCTCAGCAGGGACCATCGGGTCATCTTGCTTGGTCCATGTCCAGTCCGTCTTCCTTGTTCGGAGAGGCTTTCACAGCTGGCAGATAAAACGGTGGGAAAAAAAATTAAGATCAATCCCACCACGACCCTCCAAGGGGTGCCTATAGGTAGAAGCCTATAGGTAGTGCGGGGTAGTCCAGCCAGGACACCCCGACAGGGGGGTCCAGGCAGACACTCTGGAATATATGCCATTGCCAATACCTACAGTGACACCTTTTCAACCAATGTAAATATCGGAGCGCCTGGGAGTTTGTTTCTCCTCAAATAAAGGCGGGCCGATCCAAAAAGCCTCTGATTCTGACCCCTGAGCCACCGGAAAAGAGGTACAAACCGAACTTGAGGGGCCTGCCATTTGAGTGGGTTTTGCAGGTGAGGAAGACGTACTTCACTGGGGTGGGAAGACGGGAATAGACCAACAAGAGTTCCTCCCGACCCCCGAGCAACTTCCAGGCACAAATCATCCTGCTTTCAGTGCGCGTCGAACTGCCATGGACTCAGAAATGGATTTGGCTTAGCCTTGATCTAACTGAGTGGCCTTCGTCCGTTCCGGTCTACCTGTCAGACATGGCACGACAGCTGCGCTTGCGCAGCCATGACCCTGCCAAGAGGCTGTACACGAGCCCTCTCCATTCCCATTCACAAATACCTCAGCCGAGAAAATAAACAGTTGACCAGTGAGATTGCAGAGGTGGTGGAAGGATATTCCAACCTGATGGCTTTCTTGGGTTCTTACGCAAAGGCAGCGAGCGCAGCACGCAGTCTGACCCTGCTGAGTGCAGCCCAAGCAGTTAGACATCAAACCCTTTCAGAACGAAACTTCGAATGTTGGCACTATCTAACCATGGAATAGGTTGGTTGGCAAAGTTGAGCACCAAGGTTTTTTGGTTTGATATAAAAGCATAACGTATCAATTTAGTATGAATATCTTAAAGCATTTTGTCTTGTTCAGGCCAGGAGTTAAGAAGCTGCAAAATAAAAAGAGAAATGCTTGGTGCCGTCGGCATGCCAAACCGCTTGCATGTAGCCTAAACCAAGGACTGAGTTTGGGAGCAGAATCATCTCACTTTCACTGAACTGAGTGTGTCACTCTCCCCTCCATGGGATTTGGCTCATGTTCCCCAACAAAAACAGGTGTTCAGGGCTCCTAATTAGAACATTCAACCAGCTCTTGACTCCAGACAGCATGGGCTGGCTGCCAGGATCTAGTTCTCAACAGAACAGCTTGCAAAAACGGTTCAATCCGCATCGGAGTCCGAGTAGGTTTGTGCATCAGCCCTGCTACGCCCACTTTTTAGCCTTTGAGGTGCCCAATCCGGTTCTTTGGTCTGGGCCAACAATGGTCAACGACTATTTCTATGCATGGTCAATCTCTCTCCTGATCCTCCAACACTCGGCCGCACATTTATATGTCACCGCATTGGATTGGTTTAAAGGAACATCTAGAAAGAAACCATGAATGTTCCATGTTCACCCCCAAAACTTCTGTCTTCCTGTAGGTCCTGTAGGGGGACCTCCCTTAAACCTCACTGCCAGGCGGCCAACGCATCAAAACTGTCCGTGGTCGAGGCTGGGAGGGAGTTCGTGAACTCCGGCACCTGGGGAACCAGCCCGCCAGGGCTCCACGACCACCTTGACCATCTTGACCCTACCGGCCACACCATGTTGCGGAAAGTGTGTTGAACAGGAGGGTTCAAGGGAAAACGGGGTAAAATTCTGGATTGAGGTCCAAAACCTGTATGGAACATCGGACGAAATGGAATGACTCCCAAACACGATCTGTTTGGGATTGGAAGATTTACTGACATTCTCCATCATTGACCCCTGAAATCAACCACTCCGATGTAGGTACACATGTCATACTATACATGGCAGTGTCTGGTACTTTGTGTTCTTTTCCGCACGGGATCGGAAATGGTTGATTGACAAGGTTCAAGGAGAAGGCGGCGTGTTGAACATGTTCATGGGATTTTGAGGAGCTGGGTGTGGCTCAAAAACGCCAACTGGTGCAATAGCGAAAGCTGTAGATGTTCGCTGTTCGCCATGTTGGCAGTTCACAGTGTTCACTGTTGGAAAGCGCCAAGTGGTGTGAAAACAGAAAATAGCCATCCCACCGAGTCCCAAATCACAGTCCACCGTCCGTCCAAAAATCAGCCTCACCAAGCTGTGGGACGCCCTTGCAGAGTTTCTGGGTGGAACACCGTCCAGAGAACCGGACAGTAGGGGAGTCCAGCCCTTGCTACGTTCGTAGCTTCTTGCTACTAGTAGTGATGGCCTCCACCCTAGTAGCGATGGCCTCCAACCTACTAGCTTCTTGTTACTAGTCGCCTGTGGCTGGACTACCCTACACAACTTCAATTGGATGCTCCAATCTCTGGGCTTTCTGGGTTCTCCATCTGGTTTTCAAACACCAGGGATGCACAGCACCTCGCCGATGTGGTACACGAAAATGAAACCTCTTGGGACCGTCCTTCTCTGAGCGGTGGACCCACCCATCACGGATGGATCGTTTCTTCCTTCAGTTCCCACCATCGAAGCTGCGGCACTGGCTGGAACGCCGCATGTAAGTGCTGCTGTTGCCCTGTGCAAGTGGCATCCTTCAAGAGCGACCTGAGCGTGGCTCCGCGGATTGAAGAATCGTCACGGACTAGAAGCATGATTTCATAGGACACACTCTGCGGCAATGCCCGACTTGGAGGTGCCGTAAGTGTGTATATACCCTAGAAGTCCAAAGACTGTATTTTGACCGACTGAAGTAAAGGAAATTCCTTTTCACCTAAAGACCATTCTTTTTATAGTCTTTGACTCTCAGGGTATATATATAATATACTATATTGGCCAATATATTTCACCTGTTTATAATGAGATTCAGGTACTAGAACACACCTATAGTACGCACCTAGAACCTGAGTGACCTGTGCTTTCTTCTGGACCACCAACCACCCAGAAAATTGGTCCGTTCCTATCCAAACAGGGGACATGTCTGGATTCTGTAGGCGTGCTTTCATCAGGTGTATCAGGTCCTGCACACCCTATTGATGATCATCTGCCACTCTGTCCCGCGCCTGGCCCGTAGCATTTCGTGCACCAGCAGGATATGAGTGGCCGGCGACATGGGAGGCGCCAAATTCACGCCTGCCGATGGGTGCAGCACAGCATCTTTTGAAGGAAGAGTCGGTGTTTGGGGCCCAAGGGGTAGGATTCCCCTTACCAATTGGCACTCCAAACAGGGTGTACATCACCTGCCGTCAGCTCTTCTTTTCGGATTTCGTGTAATCAATGACATGACATGACATATCGGACTTTCCACGGAGCCGAGAGATCCTCGATTTGGCTCAGTGTATCACTCCGCTCCATCGAAATTGATTACAGTGGTTTCAGAGGTGAGAAATGACACAGACCTCAAGATGTCCCTTACATGGGGCTTCATATAAACCACCGACATTGGGGTCTGTGCCATCTACTCTGAAACCACTATAATTGGTTGGATGGATGTATTGCTTCCAACTTCTGGAACAACCAAGAAATGGTTGACCAGAACCGAGCACTTCGGACGTTTCTTGTACGTACTACTCTACAACGTATGATTTATAGTGAAGTCCGAGTAGCTTCATGTCGCTTGATGTTTTGTGGAATGTGCTGGGTTCACTGACATTGTCATTGTTGATGGAAGAAATCCTGCTGAGATTATATACTAAAAACACAGTAAATTGAGCGAGAGGGATGTTATTGCTCGCGGAAAGATCTTTCGATTTGTTTCTTGCTAGCAGGGACAAAGAAGAACCAGAAGAGCATCCAAAACCATAAATTATTAAGTCTGTTCAACGCAAAAGCAATACAAAAACAAAAAACCGTCTGAACTCCATCAATCAAGAGAAGTTCCAAAACCAAAAGCTGACTGCCATCCTCCACCCGGACCCTCTGACTGGTGAGAAAAACCAAGTGACCCTCTGACTGGAGTGAATTAATAAAAGAAACTCTCCGACCCCCGACCCCACACCTGATTCGGGATCCAAAATGATGAGATCTGCATGGCAGGGCCGTTTGGGCCGCGGATGCTGGTGGAACTCCGACACGGCAGTCCCCTTCCTCCGCGGCCAGGGGGGCGGACTTGGAGGTGGGTCCTGATGAGCGCTGGTGTGACCCCTGGGAATCCCACACATAGGCTGTGGTGTCACAAAACGCTGCAAACTGGAGGCTTCAAAGGAAGACAAAGAAAAAATTCAGGAAGACAAAGGTGCAAAAACCTGCGAGCGGAACATCGGACGATTTGTGGAATGAGACAATCAAACACGACCTGTTTGGGATTGGAAGATTTACCGACATGAACCTCTGAAATCAACCACCCCCAATTTACATGGCAGTGCTTGGAGATGTTAGTTACAGAAGTGCGGATGTTGTTCAATGACCTGGGGCGGGTGAACCTGTGAGTCAGGCACACAATTCAACACAAAACCTTGCCAAATATGCCCGGGGCAAGATATACCTCAGGTGGCACGTTGAGTATGAAACTCAAACCGCCCTGTAAGGTCCGAGGTGGGTGATCCTACCGCTGTGTTTTTTGACAAAAACATCCAGCGTGCCACCTTGAAAGAACGTAAAGTGAGATCCATCAGCGAAGAAAAGCTCTGGGTGAGAGCCCTCTGCCATGATCAACGTGCATAAGTAAATCATCAAGATGCCATGATCAGCAAGGTGGCGGACCGCTGGACTACTTGGATTTGCACAACATATGTTCAGATATGTTCAGATCATCCCCATGCAGCGAAAATCCAATTCGGAACCAACCTGGAAAAAGAACGAGACCCATCACCCCGAACAGCTCTGGAAACGGTGCCCACGGACGCCTTTCGGACGGAGGGACCAGTCGAGGATGGGCTGACGGCTGACGGTGACAGCCTGCCCTTGTTAGCAAGATGGCCTCCACCCTAGCGATGGCCTACTAGCAATGGGCTCCAACCTAGTAGCGGACTCGGAAGTTGTGGAATTCGTGTCTTTCCGGTTGAAAAAAACCCAGCTATCGCGCGGATCATTGATCATGCCAGTTAGACGCCTTTAGGGCTTTCCAAGCTTCGCAAATTTCAGCTTTCCGTCCAGCCCGCTGACAGTGGTGTATCTTTGGAAGAAGGCACCTTGCAGACGTCTGCACGTGCAAACGGAATTCGGCGACGTCCGACGTCCACCAAGGGTCACTGGGCACCCAAGGGTGGTGCTCTGCGCGAACCGAAGATAAGCTGACGTAGATCCGAAGATCATGAATCGATGATAATTAAACATAAAAACAATAATAAGTAGCAATAATGTTTCCTGCCCCCTCTGGCCGCTAGCCGCTAGCCACTGGTTGCGGGGCCTGGAAGAGAAATCGAATTAGACCTTGAATGACCTGCCCCACTGAGCCACGTCAATATCGAGGGCGTCAATATCAGATCCGAAAACTCTACGGCTTCATCCCAAGACTCCGTGAGCGAGCAACAGTTTCCACGTGAAAAAACAAGATTTGAGGTTGTGTGAAGAAACCACTCTACCTTTCCCTATACCACTTTTGACGTTATCGTTGTTTTGTGGTCCTTATCGTTTTACAGCACTTTGACTAACTGCAACAAATGTAGTATGATTTAGTGTGTGTGCACTACATGCATGTCGTGTGTGGAACCCTGCAGGCATGAAAACATTAGGCACACTTCATTCCAACTACACCGAAGTGGTGGCCTGCCTACGGAAACAACAAGGGTGTAGCACAAGGCTACAGCGGTCCAAGCCCTCCCACCTCTGCAAAAAGCACATACCCACCAGGAGCAGTCATGCATTGACCTGACAATTTGGAACAGTAGTACAAGTAGGTTTTCTGTTTGTGTGTGCACGCGTTTTCTTCACACCACTTCTCGCATGTCAAGGGTTTTCCACAAGAGTCATCGGGGGTTATCGTGTTTTTTTCTTCCTTATCGTTTTACAGGGGATTGAGCATGCTTCCAGAAAAACGGACCTGCGAATACTCATTTCTTCCAAAAGGGGGGGGTTTATACTCTCTCATTTGGAGCCCCGCCCAGCCAAGCGGTGGCCCCTCATTGGAGACCCCCGACCCGGTCCCATCTGGGAGTACCCAGGCACTCCATGTATCCCAGACACGACTAATGGGACTGCCATATATATGCCGCCCCATTGGGTGGTGTTCGGGGTCAATGTATAGGTATATATGGCATACATGAAGTGTCTGGGTATGGTATCTATCTATAAATGCCAAGATTCACCCCTTTTCAACCAACCGGATGTATGTATATAACTGTCTCATGGAGTGTCTGGGATAGTATACATATACCAGGACCTTCAAAGTGACCTCTTTGGAGTCTCTAAGTGACCTTGTACAGACCTAAGTGACCTCATCCTGGGATATCAAAGGGTCACTTTGAAGGGCCTGGTACAGTGTTTTCTCTCAAAAAACCTCAACTTTCAAGCTGGCTTTGTGCGTGAAACCCGGTCGTTTCTCGGCCGCGGCACTCATGAGCGACAGCACCGCCGACAAGGGATTCTCTGCCAGGAGCTCGGGCGAGAAACTGCCTCGGGAGAAGATGGTCCATCTGCAAGCAGAACCTTCAGTTTCTACATGTTATACGTCTGAACTGAGTCTGAACCATCGTCTTACCCTAAGCATCATAACTGTCCAGGACCTCGAGACCAAAAACCAGCTGACAGCCATGGACCTTCAGTACGTGACCGATATCTCCAATTGGAGGTCACGAATGTCACGGCTCAGGTCGAGGAATCCGAACGGGTCCGAACTCGTACGTGCCTTCACTCGGTGGGACCCCCCACCACTGAAGTGGAGGGCTTGGACACGCAGATGTTTTTGGACACGCACCTCCAACACCCGGACATGAAAACCTGAACACACTTCGGTCCATGATTCTTGGGGTATAAAAGTAATCTAAGAACACCAAAGAACACCAGCTTCTTACTTGGTAATCATACTGATATCACCAAGTTCTCAAATGAAGAGAATATGTGACACAGTACATGACATGTCTTTTGGCCGTCTATGACAATGGCATCGCTCAGTGTCCTTTCACTCACTGCGGGGCATATTGGTCAACCTGAAGAACTGAACGACTTCTGTTAGCAACTTCGAGGGCCCAAACCTGCTCAAAGGTGCCTTATACTTCGGCGGGTGCGATTCGTCCCTGTGGGCGTGCTCATGTCGTCGTCTCGTCGCTCTCTCGTTGCACCTGGCTAGTTGAAGCAACGCCGCCTTCTCACATGAACTCCGCAACGCCTCACCTCCGGGTCTCAACCCTTCTCCGAGAGGCAACTCTGTTCAGCACACGAGTGCATCGCCAGCAGCATCCAGGCCACCGTGGGCAAAGCACCATCCTTCATCCGAGGGATCCGTCTCATCCTGCGGCGACACGACGAATTCCGAAAACCACCGAACGCCTCCGTTTTCGGACCACCGGAAGGACAGCAGGTGGGGCAGGTGACAGGTGCTACCGACCCAATGGTTCAACCTTAATTTTGTTTGCAGACCTGGTGATGCTTGGATGATTTGAGGATTTTTCCATGAACACTGACGACGAGAGACAAATCCAAAATCTTGGAGCAAACCCTGGAGGTTCGAACGGAAGAATCATGGTGAATCGAGGTCCAAACCCTTAAGAATCAGGCGGACCGAAGGTCAGGGTCACCATCTCTCGGAGGTCCAAACTGCTTTTTTCTTGTTGGAACCTCTCTCCAAGGATTTGATTTAATAGCCTTTACTGCCCACAAAGGGTTTTACCAAGGATTATTCTTAACTTTACACTAAACCAGGTCAACCATGGTTAAACATGGTCTTGCAAGGCCAGGGAACTCTGACCGACTCTGACCTGTCAGTGGTGCCATGCTTCCATTTGCTGTAGTGTATAGCATTGTATAGTATTAGCACCGATCTTAAAAGGAAACGATTTCAGAAAGGAGAAAGAAAGTCGAAAGGTACCAAGGCGTGGTTAATAGACACCCGTTAATCTTTAAGGAGCCATTATTGGAGACCCCTTAGGGGAGTATCAACCGGAAGATGGCAGTGGTTGATCTGCCTTCAGAGATTCAGATCTCAAACAGAATCGATGGTGACAGAAACAAAAAACGCATGTCAGTGAACAACAGCCTAAGGTCGATAGTTGAGTGGTCACAGGGATCCAGTGGCGAAAAGATTCTGACCCCAACACTCAACCTCTTAAAGACCTCAAAACAAACCATTCTAATGTAGGCAGGCAAATCTACCATGTATTGTCTGGGTTAACCATAGGGGAGAGATGGGGAGAGTATGTTCCCAGCTGCCCAGCTGCCGAGAAACCCAGCCCAGCTGCCGGTTCACGTCCTGAGCCACCACTTGAGGCACCGCAAGGTGACGGTCAAGACAGGAACCTGGCTCACCTCAATTGGCGCCAATTGGCGCACCAATCCAAGTGCCGGAGCTACGCTCCGACGTGCAGAACTGGTGGGAAAAAGAGCAGAGGAGGGCTCAAAAAATCACGTCGAAAAACACAAAAGATAAAGACAGAAAAAAAGAACCTTCTATAGGGAAAAAAGAGAGCCACCGGGGAAAGAAACACCAGAATCGAACTCCAAAGATCCAAGTCCAGTTTGCACCTGTCGACACCTGAACCTGTCCTGAACCTGTCGACCCTTTCTTCGCAGCGTACGGATGCGTGAGCGGGTCGTGCGTAGGTCTGCGCGCACACGTGCGCCCGCGGGGTCGATGGGGTCGATGGCCCCTGGGTCGATGGCCGCGGGTCGATGCCTCTCTTGTGTTGTTCTTCAAACAGTTTAGACTTAGTGTTACTATAGGTCCTGAAATCCTCTCAATGCACCTGGCACTTCGTATCTGCTCATGACCATTTGGCCCTCCAAGTGCTTTTGTCCGCCCTTGGGGACCTCGGCCAGGGTCGTGGTTTCCATTCGCTGCGGTGGTTTTGAGAGGTTGGGTCGGATCCACCACTGGGGAGCTTGGGATCTCGCGGGGTATCTGACTTCAAGATCCTCAAGCCTGAACATTGGCATGGTTCTTTTGGCCAGTGCGGCCAGAACCCTCTTCCTCGGAACCGATCCAACATGGTCCAGCAACAAACAAAGCACTCTCGCGATGGTCATCTTCACATCTCAATCGTGCGCACGGATTGGGAGGGCTTGGCCCAGGGCGAGCGAGGGCAAGAGCCTGACGTTCATCGCTGCATATACTTATGGGACCCCTCTGAGTGGAGGTCGATGTCTATCCGGAGCCGAGCCAACTAGTAAGCTACTAGCTTGGAGGCCATCGCTAGTAGGTTGGAGGCCATTCCTATAACAGTATTACATAGTATTACTACCAAGAAGCGTCCTAGCTTGGAGGCCATCGCTGGAAGGCCCCCCCCCTTCCACCGCGAGGGTCGGGTCCGTCGTGAGGGTCGCAGCGAGGACTGCTGGCTACGAGGACGGTCTCAAAGACCCGAAAGGAGATGCGTCTCCCGAAAAATCCCCACGCCTTCGGTCTGTATAAACCCGTCTGTACCCGTCTCTTGGCTAGCTCGAGATGTTGGGACATGCAGCATGCACATGCAAAGCCGGCTGTTTTCAAACAGGAACCAAAGACCGAAAACACTTCAAACAAGTGAAAGAACCACGTGGTTCGGTCTCCAAGCGCCAGAGGGTGCCAGTTGGGTGACGAAGGCAGCTGCCGAGCCACCGTGGGGGGGTTTGGCGGCACGGCGCCGATCTTGTTGAACCATCTGACCTGGGCGGATGGGGCAGACTTCGAAGCTGTGAAAAAACCCTCGACCATCCCGTGAGACATCTCGGACATCTCTAAGGTGACCCAAACAGGATGGTCCTGGCCTCGACGGACCCGCCTCGACGGAACGGTTTGGCGAGGACGCGTCGGAAGCAAGCGGACCGGCGGGGTGTTGCGGTGGAAGCAGCCGAGCGTCGTGGAAGCAGCCGTGGCTGCAGAAAGGAAAACGTTCGACCATTCACTAGACCAGCACATGGACTCTATGGGTATAAAGGGTTTTCAGCGGATGATTTCTTCATCTCTTTTCGTGAAGCCTTCCAAGTGTGTTGCCCACTTTTCGTGAGCCTTCTGTGTGTTAGCCTACGTAGCTTCTGAAGGGATTGACTACTGACCACATCCCAACCAGTCCAGCCGACCTGGTTTCCTTTTTGGGGGCAGAGACCGTCTGCCCCAAACGGAAAAGGGCACCAAAAACTAAGTGATTGTGCTGTGCAGCCACTGGTTTGATCAGAGAATTTCATGAACTAAGACAACAGGTCCTGCTGCTTGACAGGTCCACGCCCAATGTGGGCATCAGACCTCGAAAAGGGAGAAATTGAAAAGGGATGTCACTGACAATCAAGTCCTGATTTGTTGTCATACTCTGAATCGGATCTCAGTCATCCAGTACTCTTTCCACAAGACCATGTTCGTTGGAGGGGAAGTATAACGGGACTGGGATATTTACCGATCAGTTGGGGTGGTTTGAGGGGTTTGTCTGGGGCGGCAGTCCTATGACAGTCCCATGGAGTGTCTGGGTATAGTCCAATACGTACATTGTGGAAAGCCACCCAATGGTTGGCTTCCGTGAGAAGGCCGACTGTGATGACACAACTCTTTCATCTCATGACTACGAGGTTTGACCCTTGCTCATATGTGGTTAGTTACAGAGAGTTATACTTCCCCTCCAACCAACATGGTCTTGTGGAAAGAGTACTGGATGACTGAGATCCGATTCAGAGTATGACAACAAATCAGGACTTGATTGTCAGTGACATCCCTTTTCAATTTCTCCCTTTTCGAGGTCTGATGCCCACATTGGACACCCTCCACAGCTGGGCGCCCGACCCGAATCGGCTCGATGCGACGAAGACGAGATTTGCCGGCGACACATGGAAGCGTAGCTCTCTCGTCCAGGCCGATTTTCTGGAACAGGCGGACATGTTTGGCCAAACAATGAGGGTCCAGCTATGGAAGTATGGAACCTGCTTCCTCTCACATCCGTTGCGCATACACCACACGCCAGTTGAACATCGAGCCGAATTTCGGTGCGAACAAGTCCTACAGGTCCAAGCGAAGGTCTGAGCACCACAATGTGAGTACAGGTGCCATAACTATCATAACTCTTGAAAAAACAGTTGTGCTTGACCCATGTTCAGAGGTTCTTCGAGGGACAGCAAGCGGCCCTCAGCCCTTGAAGCCCGTCTTCCCTGATGTCCAGTCTTACCAAGATGCGTGTTCAATGGAATGGTGAGAATTGATGGCCAAATCTACCTGGGCAGTGCAAGCATTCTCGCAGCCTAAAGCGTACCATTTGAAAGAGGAAAAGAATCTTCAAGATCCTCTTGCACGCTGTGATGTTGGTGGGAGGGTACCGCAGGTCAGCACAGGTAGTCAGGCAGCGATATGTCACAGCAGCTTGAATTCGCCCCCCGTAAAACAATAGCCACAAGATTAAACACCTAACCCGATTCTATCAAATTTCCAAGAAGATGGTCAGCTGATGTCAGCTGCTGAAAGTGTCATCTTGTGGATCATCGAGGGATGGGGTTTGTCTGATATCGATGGCATGAACACTTCGGAAGACTGTCGTCCAAAGACCAAAAAGGGGCAACTACCCTTGAGCAGGCGTGTGTTATAACTTCTTCAATGACTGCATACGCATATAGTATCGGTGTCCATTTCATGGTTGGCTTTGAGGCGATGGAACATATGAAACCTATGTGCTATATATATATATCAATTATATATAATTATATAGCTATCTATCCATCTATCTGTCTGTCTATCTATCTATTTTGGGTGCTGCATATATGTGTCTACATATCATCCAATATAACTACAAATATATACATGCCTTGGATGCCATGGAAACCGCATATAGGTCTGTCCACCTCTCTATCTACATACTTCCATGCGTCTGTCAAAAAAATGACTTATCACAGTCTGGAATCCTTGACTCCGCCTGTTCCGATAAAAAATGGGGATTGCCCTCGCAAAGTCATTTGCTCCGCAAAAAGAATAGTGTCGGCAGTTGGAGCCTTCCCTTCGATCCTCCCTTTTGAGTTGGAGCTCATCCTGACCCAACTTCTTCTTCTCTGTTTAGGCCGCAAAAAGCCTTTCCCTTCTCAGATCGACGACGATGCATTTTTAGTAGTCCCGCGTCCGTTCTTCAGGATGAAGTAGATTTGATCTACAATTCCGTTGCTAACGATGCTAATTTGTTTAAGAATCCTCAGCTTCTTTTGGTGCCATCTGCCACATTCACACACCAACCAGCTGAGAAATCATAGGTCATTTGGTCCTTCCAACTCGGATTCTGATTTGGTCGTCGGCTTCAGGTCGGCTTCGGTCACTTCAGCCCTCTTGGGTCGCTGGATGGGTCTGTGATGCTTGGAATCATGTAGTTCTTTGCAGCGCTTGCATGGGGATCCTGCACTGCTGAAGTTTTTTCTGCATCCATATTTTTGATGGAGAATCCCGGAGCATGGCTCCCAATCCTGCGAAGGCCCTGCAAAAACGTTGCACATTCTCTTCGACCGGCCTTCCGAGCGTCCGAGCAAAGGGAATGTCTTCTGCAAGTCCTGCAGTTCACCTTTTCGCCTTTGCCACGAACTAGAAGAACATCTAGTAACAAGAAGCTACTATTTGCAGGCCATCAATAGGTTGGAGGCCATCGCTAGTAGGGTGGAGGCCAGTAGGGTGGAGGACATTACTACTAGAACCAAGAAGATAGAATGGAATTTCCCTACCCCCTCACGGGTGGTCTTTTTAAGTACAGAAATGAATTCCCAGCACGATCCTGGAAAGCCTGACCGGTCCACGATATTTTCTCTTTGGCCAAGCAACAAGTACCTGACTCCCGTGAGTGATGGAGAGGATGGGAATGCGCGCATCATCGATGACCTCGATCGCGAAGAGCCGTGCGCACTGCGATCCGACAGGTCAACTATGGTCAGACCGGGCCCAGCCCTCCATTCTGACAGGTTGAAGAATGCTTAGTAGGTACAGAGTTACTTCTCCAACATGGCCGGCCGTGTGGAAAGTGTAGATTCACTTCTGGATTTTGAGACCGATCTGCCAGGGACCTCCCGCAGACCACGTGTTCAACCACCGAGACCGCGAGACCACCCCTTCTCCGCTCAGAGACCACCGCAGCGAAGTCCTCCGGAAAGCCGGTGGAGTGACCTTGGATCGAGCAGGGCGAGCAGGGCGAGCAGAGCATCTCCGAGCTGGTGAGACTTCGTCTCTTGGTGATTAGTACATGGCTTCCATGGACGTCCAGCCACTGGGAAGACCATGTTCCGACCAAACAGGTGGTGCCATCCACGTAACCATGTGATGTCGACACGTCAAACGGGGCCCTACGACTCTGTCGGACTGGAGGAGCTTGGACGGCTTGAAGGTGGGGAAAAAAGCGAAGAAAACGATGTCAATCACGGCTGAACAGCGCAGTTGTAGCTGTCAGACCCACCCATGTTCTTCCCCACAGTTGCATATAGTCCACACAGAACGAAGGCTGAGTGAGTTGAGGTTGTCAAATCGCCAGCATCTTATAACTTTGAACATTTGGGGCTCTGAAACACTTGTCAACTGGGCCCTGTTCTTTCTTTGAAGAAATGTGGTACAATACACTGAGCAAAACTGGAGGCTCTGCGAAAGACTTACATAAGATATCTAGAGTATATATCAGAATGCCGATCCACCCCCTCAATGCTCCACATATCCTCAAAATCCATCAAATTCCTGAATTTGCGATAAATAAGCCTCTAAAAAAAGGGAATGTGGTGAATTCTTCGCTGGCTTGAACTCTTCGCTAGGGCCGGGCCCTTGTTCGTTCTCATCCCGACTGAAGTTCGTTCGGCGGTCGAATTTCCAGGGCCAGGCAACATCCAAGATCTCCCAATTTGAGGATAATAGCCCCGTTCGTAGCGTTCTTGCTGCGTTCGTAGCGATGCCAGGAGCCCCTAACTAGCGTACTTGCTCCGTTCGTAGCGATGCCCGTACTTGCTCCTAATAGCAAAATGAATCAACATGATTGTGTCAACTTTAGGATTTCTGGCCCACCAGTGATGTATGGGCCAAACCAAAACATGCGTAGACAAGCATATTAGTTTACTAAGGATGGTTAATCCATGCAGTCCTGTTGATGGAGAGGAACTTCCAGTGCCATTGGGTTCTTTCAACAAATCTTGCCCATGTGGGTGGCGGGTTTCCTATGTGGTTGAAGAATCTGCCGCGAAAAATCCATGCGTTTCCAGTGGCTCTCTGAAGTCAAGATATCCTTCACCTTCCGCAGCAACGCCACGGCATCCACCTCCGACTGCGTCATGCACCTCAAAGGATGGAAGCCGCTCAGCAGGTCAGCAACCCATGATCTATAATTAGATATATCAAAGAAACTTCTACAAGCACATATTATATATGACATGTTTCACAACCAGCAGTACATCTACTAGCACATATCATACCGGATACCGGCACAACTACCGGCACATATCATACCAGCACCCTTCAACAGGATCCAACAGGTGTCTTCTAAAGGAAGGTTGGACCCCAAAAGGCTTGTGACCTGATGGAGGATGAGCGTTGGTACAAGTTCGGTGACAACGGCCCCATACACCGTACGCCTGATACCGTTCCAGCGCCTGATATCGTACGGCGGCTCGACCCATCGACCCGTGGGCCGAACCGAAAATCACCCGGGGGGTCCTATGGGTTTCGTTGCATCCTCCACAATCACCTAAGGCTGGCTCGGATCAAAGGACTTCGACCATTGCTCCAAGAAAGAAGAAAGGAGGCTGGATGGTGCCCGCCACATGGGCCCATGTACACCCCAAACGGGCCCATCGTGACAACGACGTGAACGAGAGAAAAAGAGCTTGTATAGATCCGCTCCCGTCCTGCTCGTCCCCTCGGATTCGGTGGCCGAACAACCGCGGCACACGAGGTCCACATCACTCCCGGGCGTTTCCAGTGACAACGCAAGGCTACCCACCAGGACCATCTCCTGCGGCGAAACCCGGCTTTCGCGCAAAACCCAGCGGCGAAACGAGTCCCGCGAGGGGCACTCGCCCAGTGCGCTCCACACAACTCGTTGTGTGGAGCATTGGAAGCCGAGTGGGCTGAAACCCCCATAGAATCGAAGCACGGGGGTTTCGGGCTCCCAAAGAGGAGCATTCTCGGCCTGGTATAGGAAAAACTGGTCTGTACCTTTTCTCGCAGGGTTCATAGGTTCGATCAGTGTTTCAAGATGGTCGACCTAGCACTGGCCCCAGATATCCAAATTCTGTCGATGTTTCGGTCGTTTTTGGGAAAAACGAGTTTCCCGCATGTGTCACGGTTCAATGCTGAGGCTTCATTTGGGTTGTGTAACTTACAATCTCAGGAAATCACAGGACCAACGGAACGAACATCGATGCAGAGTATGGGGGTGATTGACAAACAAATTAGTTACTAATTACTTAAAAATTAAAGAGCTTAACTGCCAAACGAAAGCCTGGCAAGCCTCGTCGCAAACACACCCAAGCACTGGGGATGCTGGGACGGGGCGTGAGCTTATTCTTCAGCCGAAGATTGAGAGGCTTGGCTCTGGTGGTGTTTGTTCCTCGTGCGGGTTGGCCCCCAAAAAAGAAAAACGCTGGGTGATTTCGGTGTGAGAAGCGTGAGACCCTTCCCCCGGTTCCGCAGGTTCCGAACGATCCATGCTCCGTCGGGTTCCGGCCGTTGAGCGCCCTTCCTGCTCAATGAGACTTCCATGAGTCGGAGTCGGAGTGCTTGCCCCCCGGGGCGAGGCATTCATTCGGTCAGTGTAGGCAGGGCGTCTTCCGCGAAAACGCCCTGGAAACTGACAAGAAGAGGCATGTTTCTCGTGAACATCCGTTGGAAGACATCACTTCCATGCGTCTCAATGTCCAACTGATGGTCCATTTGCTCTCAAAAGCTCCTTGAAGTCATCATCCAGGGCAGTCCTCACAAGACAGGCTGAATCGTTGGGAACCATCCCAAGCAGCAAGAGGGGAAAAAGACTGGACTGGAATAATATATGTGGAAACTGAACGTTCGTTTCGCCAAAGGAACGGAACTGTTCACTTACTGGAATCCAGTGTCCATTCTTCGGAAAGTTCCTTTACCTGAGATAGTGGCGATAGTTCCACAGCAGTGGTGCAGTGCAAAACACACCTCAATCATCTCCGTGTTAGCACAAAAGGGTTCTGGAATTAATTTTGGATGTCTGTTCGTCTTTGCTGGTATAGCTCGAAATGCAGCGTCATGTGAACCTCGGAGTGCACTTTGGAAAGCTCGAAGAGCTGATCTTAACATCTATATAAGTCTTATGTGAGATGGCAAAAGCCTGCTAGCCCTTAGCACCCAACCTCGGGGGCTCACAGAAGATGCACTATGTTGGATGGTCCCTTTCCTTCTTTAATATTACCTTGGCAGCGCTTTGTAAACCTCGCTGGTCATGGACAGGTTGCGAAAGAGACTCACTACGCTACAAAAAGACGAGAATAAGTAAAAAAGAATAACAACCAAGCAAGAAAGAAGCCACAAAAAGCTGCAAAAGCAAGGAAAGAGAGAGGAAAGAAGCAATGAACAGCAAGGAAAAGCAACACAAGCACAGAAAAGCAGGAAAAGTAAAGAAGCAATGAACAGCAAGGAAAAGCAACGCGAGCACAGGAAAGCAGGAAAAGCAAGAAAAGCAAAGAAGCAGTGAGAAGCAAGGAAAAGCAAGACGAGAACAGAAAAAAACATAAGAAAAAAGTAAAAATAGCATAAAATAACCAAAATTAAATACCCCTCCGCACAACAGATCTAATCCTAAAAACCCCTGGCAGGTGACTCCTGGCACCTCAGGTCGACCGTGGGTGGAGTGGATGGCCAGCTGTACATCGAACGAACGCGAAGTTGGACACCCCGACTCACCTCTAAGAGGCTATATAGGCACCCTATATATACATGTATACTATAATATTACAATAATCATCATGCTTGCCAGGTGCTTCGTGATTGATGTTGTGATCCATGATAAACGATAAATGATGATGCACCTCATGTTCTCACTCACCTCACTGATGTTCTCCAAAAAGGACTGCCTGAACATCGTGCGGGATTCGACAGCGTCTTTGATCGGTCGAACCTGGCTCACGTTTTCTGCCTCTTTGTGCTTGGTGAAGGTATATAACCCAGACACTCCATGGGACTGCCATATATGACTACATTGACCCCCCTCCCCCACCACCCCTGGCCGTTTTGAAGGCAGTCCGAACTGACAGTCCCAGACGGGTCGTGTCTGGGTTATATCATTCCCCCACGCTTCCCTCTCGCCTCTGGAGTCTCTGGATCTCGCCTCTCACCGCTCTCGCCTCTCTCTCCGCTCCGCTCCGCTCCTGCATGCCACCTCGACGAGGCTGACCCATTGCTGCTGCCATGCACGCATGCCTCGGTGCTTGAACGCAGGGGCGACGTTGGCTGTAGAGTTTGCCTTAGAAGCTGGCCATAGACTTACGTATGTGAGAAACAATTACCAAAAACGATCATAAAAACTCAGGAAACAATTCAAATTGTGAGACTTACTCAATTGTTTGGGACATCTTGGGATAGATGCAAGATATGCAAGATGATGCAAGAAAAAATACATCACATGTGTGCTTCATAGCCAGAGGTTCACGCTGTTCAAAGGTTTCAATTGGCCCAGATTCCAGCATGAAATCATGACTTCAATGGCCAAGCCTTGGCAGTATGAGTCCATATACACCAGCATCTCCTGAAAAATCGCGACGAAATCTTTGCGAGAAGGAGATGTAGACATCTTTTTACAAGGTACCAGAACATCATCACTGGGGTCCTGCATGTCAATCGTCATGCAAGCTATCTGCCATCATACATAAATGCTCATGATGCAGGCATGGCCAGAAACTCAATGAACGAAAGGACTTCTTCTATCCCTTCAGACTCTATCACTTCTCAGTACCCAGATCCTACTGTTGGAACAAAACCCTAGAACCTGCTGTCCCAGTGAAGCATGTGGCGGAAATCAAGTTGATTGGTTGAATTCCTAGCAACCACCGAAAATTCCACAAGGCCTTTAGACTACAAGTCCCAGGTAGTCTTTCTTGTAATGGTCTTGGAAGGTTATAGGGTATACTGGAAACTGGAAACCATATCTACGACAAGAGAGTGTCACATGGCCTTTCCCCATTTTGACAACAACATGTTCATGTTGCTTTCCTTTGGCTTGGTTCCAAGGAATCTCAAAATAGGCATCTCCCTTGCATTAGCTGTCAAGTCCTAATCACTCAATTGGTACTTAGCTGTCTATATGCAAGCATGGCGTTTGCCTCCTGGAAGGCTGTCTCCACTTGATAATTAAGGATCACAACAGGTATTGAGATCCTTGGATTTATGACAACGGATCACAACTAACGATTGCCACCGGTTATAAACTATCCCGCACACCACAGACTTGCTAATTTGGGAACATGTGTGTGATCCTCCAGCACCAGAAATTGTTCTCCAATTAAGGGACCCTCAACCCATGGGGGCATTGAGAGATATTGAGAGCATCAATCTGCATTGATCAATCAGTTTTCGGAATAATCCAAATGTTAGGAACACAGGATGCCTTTAAGGCAGACCTCTAAAGTACAAGCTGCAGGAACAGCTCTTGCAAAAATCACGGCACCTCTCCATCCCCCGCAGACAACGACTCTTCACACCGGTCCTGTAGGTAGTTGGTGCAACCCAGCGGGTTCCAAGCCCATTCGCCCCAGGGGGGACCAGCGAAGCCGGGTGCAAACGGTACATCTCCCCAGGTGGGCGCAAAGGAGACCGGCTCGATGGAGACGGGGATGGGACCCTGGCGAGGTGTGTTTGGAACATCACACGAGTCACAAGACGAGAGTCCAAAACGAAGAAAAAACACATCCATTCCAGGACCCGAGTCTACAGGTCACCAATGGTTCGACCTGAGACAGGGTCCAACAACCCTCAACTAACAGCCTGGCCAGGAGGGTGCTGGTTTGGATGTGCGTGCTTTGGGATCCTTGGGTGTCTTTCTCTTGGAGCTTCTTCAGTGCACTTCTCGTTCACGTCTTCTTCGGGGTGCACGACACCGGGAAGTCCGAGCAAAGGCACTTGGAGGAATTGGGTCAAGCGCTTGGTGTTACAAGCGAGCTAAGGCGTGAAGTTCGAGCTAAGGCTGGTTCGAGCTAACACGTCCCGAAAACGATCCGGACGTCGTGTGGTTGATCTTTGGACCAGACCAGCGTTTTTTCCTCTACCAACCAGTGGGCTTTTCAGGGTCCATGGGATCGTCTTCCACGGGGTAGCCAAATTTGAGGCCATGATAGAAAAGCTTTCTTTGAAGCAGCACCTGATGTAAAAAGTTATTGAATTGATCTCTCACTTGGTTCACTCGTGGCGTTCTTTTCTTTCACAGTTCATTTCTCCCCAGCCTTTTGCAAGACCAACCGGAGTCTCTCCGACCCGCCGGAGTCTCTCCGAAACCCGCCTTTTCCGGGATGTTTGGCCTCTCTGCTTGCGTGGACACCTCATGCGGGTGTGTACTTCGCCCGTTCCGCGGCGACGCTTCGCCCGGAACGTGGGCAGCGCGGGCTAAGCGGGAAGGACACCGAGCGAGAGAGAACAAGCTGAGCAGCCAGCGGCTTTGTCTGGACAAAGAAAGAGAAGGGCGGCTCTTGAAACAGCGGCGTTTGAAGTGACTATTTAGTGTTTAGTTTGGGTATATTATATTACCAGCAACAGTGGATGATGATGGTTCAGTGGCCTCTCTCAAAAATAGTGATTTGCTTGTTTACTCACTGTTACAGGTAATAGGACAGACCCAATGATACATGATGACCTAACTTCAAACAAGCTTCTACCGGTTTCGGTTCTTCAGGTCCATCGGTTCCACCACTTTTCCATTCGGCTCAGGACTTGAGATGCCCCGTATTTGAAAAGAAAGGACTTGAGATGACGAGAGAAGAACTCGCCAACCACGTTCACGTTCCCCAGCCCGGTGCAACCCGACCGCCGCGGCGATCGCCTCGCCGCGTCGCCACGCCGCGGCGTCGCGTCGGATGGCCCCAGGGACGCTGGTGGAGGACTCCGACTCGCCGGCATCGCTGGAGGCCGGAGAAGCGGTACCTGGATCTGACCCGTCTTCGGCACAAAGGAAGTAACAAAGACGGGACAAAAACTGGAGTGCTGGCAACATCCTATATATACATATACATATATATATATACTGGAGTGCATCATAAAAGAAATAAAACAACATCCATACTGCTGGAGTGCGAACGCCAAAATCAATGGCCAAAGAGTCCAGAGGTGGTCGCCAGTTGCAGCATTGGTTTCTGTCTTTCGTTGGTATTGGGCCCTTTCTTTTGGGTTATATGGAATTTCACAAAGTTATAATGGGCTGGGAGCTACCTGGTTTGAAATTCACAGCGCAAGGCAGCCTTTCCTCTTTTTCACGGCTCAAAGACCAAGTTGCTCTGGTTGCAATCTACCCACACACTCAACAGTTCGAGGAATACTGGGCCCTCCCCTCGAAACTCCTCTGTTATCTTTCAGCCACCAATAAATGTTAGAGCTCTAAGACTGTTGGACTATTGGACTATAAGAGCAAGAAGTTGCCTGTGCTTCATGTCTGTATAGTTTAATCATGCTTAATCTACAGTATCATATATGAAATGAAGCAACTCCATTGTTTGCAAGAACTCCACACAAAACTCCACAAAAATAAGCTATAAGAACAAATGTTGTGTTATAGTTTTCCTGGCAGCAGACCCCCACACAGTCACAAAAGGAATTATAAGAAACACATGTGTTCTTATAATATTTTCTGGGAGCAAAACTCCACAAACAACAAGAAACACATTTAGGAACTGAAGAATTTGCCCGCCGCAGGCGCGGAATCTTTTGCAACAATTCATAAGTTCCTAAATATATAAGAAAAAAATCTATATATAAAGCATATCATAACATTATAAAGCGTACCATAACTGATCATCTCTATTTCTATTTTTGTTCCATACTTTTCCATCCCTTTCCCACCAAAGGATGAGGACACCAGCCGCTGGCCGCTGGCGGCGCACTGGTGGCGGACTCATCGAGCTCGGATGCGCGTGTCTCCTGGCGAGATGACGTCTTCTGCAAATCATCGTCTGAAGTCGTCAGAGACGTTGTCAGAAGTAGAGGTGGGTCAGGACCCGAACGTTCGACTATCCCAGTTCGGTACCCCAGTAAAGGTCCTCAGTTCGACTATCACAACACAGGTTGTGTTGTCCCATGTGTCACAACCTCTGTCACCCTGCGCCGTTGTTTGCAGATCTCGGACGGGTCACATGCGCTTTACCGCCTCGGCCTTTCGCACGCCCATCCCGCAGTCCTGCTTGGAGCTGGCAAACTCCTGAAGGGTCAAAACGGTGCCGTTGGAGGAAAGGGGGAACCGGTTCTTTCTAGTTGGGTCCAGTTGAGATGATCCCGGAACTCCTTAAAATATATAGATCTATGGAAGGCTTCTAATATTTCTAATTTAATGATACTATAGCTATCTATAGCTCAATTAACAGCCTAAGACCTCAGGCAACAAGGGAAGTCAACAGCCACGGGTCTGCCCGCGGGTCTGCCCTCCCACACTCGCGATCTTGCAGACCTATGAAACGGCGAAAACTGAGAGACAAGCATCACTGATCACTTGACATTGGACCCCTCGAGCAACGAAGTTCAACACGTCTCCCGCTTGGTGCTCTGCAACATCAATGTCGCAAGCTTCTTCAACATGATTCGAGATATCAGTCTTTCAACATCATGTTGTGACAACGGCATACTCGTTCACCTCTCTGCTAGCGGGCATGCACGGACCAGCTCACAAGAAATGGTCATCCAGTACACTTTCTGTGACATCCTCCTTAAGAAGCAGCAACTCAGACGGTTCTAGTTGAAACCACCCCAAACTCATTCAGAAAACCAACTTAGCATCAAATCAACTGACTAACTCCATCTACCTGACCAACAAATGAACCCTTGTGGTAGACTCAGCTGCTACTGTCGTTCTTCATAGCCAGCTTAACGACTTCGTCTCAGCGACATTTCTTTGTAGCCGACCCCCGGATGAATTCAGGCCTTCAAATGCCTTCGGGACACCGTCCTTCTACTGTTGCAATGTCGAATCCCCTGACACTTCCCAAACAGCCGACGCAGAAGTGCCAAGAGGCTTTGAGGGATCCCACCAACAACGCTTTCCTGAGAGCAACAACGCGAAGGAGTCCAACCCCAGACATTCCATGTTTATGGAATATATGCCTGCTTTGACGCCTTTCAATGGGACTGGGGAAACATTCAGAACTGTTTCTGGTTGTTTGGGCTTCCAGGTCAGTCTGGGGATTGGCTCAAACGAACTTATTGACTTATTGGCTCAGACGGTGAAAAGTAAAGCCACACCTTGCCTAATGCAGGGCCAGGCAGGGTCAGCCTTTTCAGGCCAAGATCAAAAGAATCAATCCAGGTCCTGATGTCTGCCATTCTTGCACACACCTACAGAAGTCGCAAAAAACAGTTGCCTATGCATGCCTGTCCTTGACCAAGATTTTCTGATTCTGTATGATTTTGTCATTGCATTTCCAGTTTCCAGGGGTGCTGCAAGGTGCCGAGGGTGATGATTCAGCCACCAAAGCTGGATTGAAGCAAACCAGCCAACCTCATGTGCATCAGCCAACCTCATGTTTGGGCCAACCACCCAAACACCGACCCAGCAAACCCCCCAAACCCGCCCTTCGTTCGGTCTAACTCGCGGATGTTCCACCTCTGCCTCCCCCGACAGCCATGGTTTCCGCCGCGGCGCGGATCCGTCCCGGTGAGGTCCGCCTTCCTCGGGACGAGAACAGTCCAGGCACGGCGCTTCGGACGGCGCGAAGGACGCGCGCTGTCGGAAGCGAGGACCGGCGGAGCTGGCGGACTGGGCGGACTGGGGCGTTGGAGTTGGGGAAGAACACGGGAAGCTGTGACTCAGCAGCTTAGCAGCGGGTCCATGAGCCGTTGTGGGGGGAGGAAGTTCAAGGCGTGGGGATGTTTAGAGGGAGAAGAAGGATGTTTGGAGGGGGTTTTCCGGGCGAAAGAGTGCACCAGTGCTACAGATGGAGTCCTAAAGAAACACAGGAGTCCTTCCGGAGTCACAAGTTTTTGACGGAGGTGCAGAACGAATGGAAGCCGGGGTGCCCCTGATCCAAATCACCTTGATCTAAGCCTAAAACATGTTGAGACCTTCACTCACTTCACTGTTTGAAGCGTCAAACTGGGAGCCAACTCACCTTTTCTGGATGATGCAGACGCCAATCTGAAGTCCAAGGCCGAATCTCCGAATCTCCAGTGTTCACCGGATTGAACGTCTGATGGCACGTGGGGTCATAAGATGTTACAAGCAGTAGGTCGAAGCATGCAGTTTTGGGAGAATGGATCCTGAAAAAGAGTGGCAGCCGCTCGAGGTCTTGACTTGGCACCGTTTGGCCCTCAGAAGCGCCTCCGCTTCGCCGAAAAAGAATCGGCCAACTCGGCCCCGGCCAAGCACTGGACGGCTTCTAAACTGCTTGCTGGAGCTGCAGTAGCATAGTCCAAAGCCGTTTTGCCATTCTCGTCTACTGCATATCTGTTGGCTCCAGCCTCAACCAAAAAGTGCAACACTTCCAAGTGGCCTTTCTGTGCAGCAAAATGCAAAGCGGTCCAACCATCTTTATCTGCTGCATCCTTGTCTGCTCCAGCTTCAACCAAAAGGCGCACAGAGTCCAGGTAGCCCTTATATGATGCCATGTGCAAAGGGGTCAGGCCATCTTCCTCAGCTGCATCCTTGTTGGCTCCAGCCTGAACTAGAAATTGCATTGCCGCCATGCGGCAGCTCCATGCAGCCAGGTACAAAGCAGTCCTACCATTCTCGTCTGCTACATCCTTGTCAGCTCCAGCTTCGACCAAGCATCGCAACACTTCCATGTGGCCTTTGTGTGCTGCCAAGTGCAAAGCGGTCCAACCATCTTTGTCTGTAGCATCCTTCCTGGCCCCAGCCTGAAGCAAAAAACGCACTAGTTCTGTGCAGCCCTCAAACGCTGCCTTGTGCAAAGGGGTCATCATACCACCTTCCTCTGCTGCATTGGTGTTGGCTCCGGCCCGCACCAACAAACGTGCCACCTCTATGTGGCGGTTCTTTGCCGCCAAATGTAGAGCAGTCATGCCATTACGATCAGCTACATTCACGTTGACTCCAGCCTCTACCAAAGAGTGAAGCACTTCTAGGTGGCTCTTGTGTACCGCCAAATGCAACGCCGTCCAACCATCTTTGTCAGCTGCATTCTTGCTTGCTCCAGCCCCGACCAAAAAGTGCACCAAGTCCAAGTATCCCTCATAGGATGCTATGTGCAAAGGAGTCAGGCCTTCTTCCTCTGCTACGTCTTTGTCTGCTCCAGCATCAACTAAGAATTGCACCACTTCCAACCGGCAGTTCTTGGTTGCCAAATGCAATGCTGCTAAACCTGTGTTATCTTGTGCATCCTTGTTGGCTCCAGCTGCGACTAGCAATCGCACCACTTCCAAGTGACCATTAACAGCTGCACTTTCAAGTGCCGACTTGCCATTTTCTGGATGTCGGGTATCTGGGTCTTGTGGTCTCTGAAGTGCACATTCAACGTCCTTGCAGCGATTTTCCGAGCAGGCAGAGATGAACTCCGAGTCTATCAGCCTGTCACTTGGACATAAGCTCAAAACCACCAACTGGAGATCGAACTCAACTTCATCCATCAGCCAGTGATTCTGCAACTCGCCGGCTTTTTGGCCCAAGAGTCTGAGGCGAAAGCGGGAAAATCCCACCTGCGTCGCCAGGCGCTTTTTGAGTCCCGCGATCGTTTCGCCACCTTTCACCATCTCGTCAAGCTCCTCCTCCTCCAGTCGCATGATGGTCTGGCCCGACACAGTGCTGACGCGCATCGTGTCAGGCACCGGCAGCGGCAGCGGCTGGAGCAGGCAGGAACAGTGCGGCTCACGGCTTGGGCATGGATTTGCTGCATGTTGAAGACCAACGAAGGAGGTTGTCTCACAGTGTTTTCCTGAAAAGAACCCTGACAGCACAATGACAAAATACATCAAAACACATGAATTACTGTAAAGTGGCCAAGAAGTACCGATCGAGTTCACCACGTATATATATGTATATAGACACTTAGAAAGGCCCTTCTGTCAACAACTCGTGGTTTGTTAACCAAGCCGCGCGGATCGACTCCCTTCCGGCCTTTGACATCGTGCCTTGTTCCAACTTCGACACCCGGTGGGAGAGACCGGTGGTTCCACCGGTGACCTGTGCCGAGGCTCCCCAAGATCTCGCGCAAGGCCTTCCTCAGACCGCCCAAGCCACGCTTCTCGCAGACCTCATGCAAGGAGTCTTCCAGGCCTCAAGAAAAGAGCGCGTCCTCACGACACGTCCAGTCGACTCACCGCGCGATTAGTGGTGCAAGGGATTTCGGATGGAGCATGTCGAAGCTGGGAGGTTCCTCCATCCCAGTTTTGCCGGTTCGGCTGGCAGGCAAACAACGCAGACCGGAGCAGCCCAACCACGAACGGCGCCACCAGCGCCTTCGATCAGCTGAGCTGAAACCGCGGGATGTGCCGACAAGAAGATCTGGATCTCCTTCTCCACGTCCATTCCTTTTAGTCCTCACCGTGGATTCAACCGGCGACCAAGGCATAGAATTCCCCAGGATTCGGACATCTTTGGACTGTCATACAAATGAGGAATTCTATTCGGACTGTCATAGAATCATACTTGCCTACAATGGGGTGGAGGATTTCAGGGGTCGGTCGATAAATCGTCCCAGCGCAGCGTTTAGGCTAAGGGAGTTAGCGGTTTGGGCACATGAGTCCAACGGCACGTGTCCGCAAAACAGGACGTCAACCGGGTCAGTCAAGAGCGAGCACGTGTCCCAGTGACTGACGTTGAGCACACACATCTTGCACAGGAACTCGAGAAATCAATTCAAAAGAAGATAACGATCGGAGATCTGTACTTTCTCACTGTCCCATCCAGGCTCATTGTGTCCATGTTTAATGTTAGTATACCTTGACCAAATCGCACACGCGAACAGTTCGACGGGTCGCTTCCTTCATCTGCAACAACAGCAGCCATGGCCCCAAGTATGCCTTTTTTGTGTATCTATCAAAACCAGTGACTGTTATGGTTGCTTCGATCTTTATATGACACATGACTCATGACTTACAGCATGATCGATTTCAAGAGAACTCCTTTCCCAGTATGCACATTCTTCCGGAGATTGGAAGATGTTGGACGAAATCTCCCATGATCATCCATGATCGCACTCCACAGTCAGCAGGATGGGCTCCAAACATGCCATTAGAGCTATGAGAACAACTGCTTTTTGAAGACTCCCAAGATCTCTCAAATTGCTTTGAAAAGCTGAAGAGAAGCTGCGAAGGGCTGCCGAAATCGACGAACGAAACTGCTGCCGACTGGTCGTCAAAGCCCCACGACGTGATGGTTGACCCACTCCGACGAACACGAAAAACATGTCAGTGAGTCAGAGTCTCTATACCGGGGCAACGGCGAGAGAAGGTGAGGAGGAACCACCATCCCCCTAGATCAGCTTTGGCGATGGGTCGGCGATGAGTCCTGGTCATGGCAACCCCAAAAAAAAACTCCAAACTAGTATACCACCTCAAAAACAAATAATCTTCGTATCACAATTGTACTCTCCAAAGTCCCTAAACTTAAGTACCCAAAATCTCGACAACGACCTCAGATCGCTTTCACAAATGGAGACACTCGGCAACTGTGATGCCTCACACTCACCGCTCTTTTGACGATCCGCAGGAAAGCTCATGCCTTGGGCATCACGCGCTCGCCAAGCTTGCTGAAATGGAAGCTGTAGTGACTGGCGGGGCACTTCAGCTCCCAATGCAGCCTCTCCTCAAATCCCTCCGTGATCGCATTCGATTCGATTCCGATGTTCGACATGAGTCTGGTTCAAGCAAGCCAGAAAAGCAGTTCGAATAGCAACAAGATGCAACAAGTTGCCTTGGTCTGGTTCGGCTAAGATTGGCAGTTGGAAATGAAGAATGAGGTCATGATGTTTCGCCCATGAGTGCAAACTTATGTGCACAGTGCACACTGCATGTGTCATGTATCGCGATGACACAACTGTTGAGTCTCGAACTCTCAAACCCCACATATTGAAATTCAATGACCCAAGCTCTTCCCACAGACCAGTTTTTTAACGAAGCCCCAAGACTGAAGAGTGGTGAAAACCTAATATCCAAATTGAGCCGTTCGCCATGGCATGCCATGGCACTGTTGCTAACCTACTTCAAAAGCTTCAAAGTCATCATGAAGGCGATCCAGGAGCAAGTCAAGGATCCTTTCGGCAATAAAGCCACTTTGAACACCTCTTGATTCCACCCTTTTGGCCTCAAAAATAGGCAGCTCCAGGGCTAGGCGAGCGACTCTCCCTCGTGGTCGCTGTCCCCGGCGTGTACAGCTTCGCTGTGGGCGCCGCGTCTTCCGATACCTCGGACGCTGTGGCGTCCTCGGCGTCCGTCGCACTCGCGCGCCCGGCCCAAGCACCCCAGGGCGAGGTGGTCGACGGCCGCAGCGTCGCCCCCGGACCGGGGCGCAGCGGTGTGGTGAGCGGCGCGGGCGCGGGCTTGGGGCGGAGGGCGTCGCGGAGCTGGGCATCAGTGTTTTCAAGCTCACCTGCAGTGATGATCCGATGGGGCCGAAGAAGGGAAGTGGGATTTCATTTGTGCTCATGTACTGCTTTGTGGCTGAAGACTCCAAACTTGCTCTCGCCCCCCTAGACCAAAATCCTTCCAGTCTTGGAGCACATGTCATGGCGAATCTTTATTTCCCCAAACAGTGTGGCAGTGTGGACACACTTAGGGGTTCTTACGGTAGTAGTTAAGCACCTGTGTTAGATCGCTGTGTCGCGCGGGCGTCTGCGGCTGATTCGCTGCTATTTACCATACATTCATGCCCCTCGAAATCCTCGAAGTGCGCTTCGACTGCGCAGGCTCGCAGAATCTGCGTGGGCGCGGCGGGTGCTTCTAGCGACTGCACTCTCGTTGTGGTGCCGTGCGCATTTTCGGACACGATGGTCACTTTTCGTGGCAGGCGCATGGGAAACCTCGTGTTTTCGTGGTCCAGAGTCATGACAGGTGCAAGGGATCGGAGCGGTTTTACTTCGAAATCCTGCTTTCGTGCCAAGCACAGCACCTTGGACACGCATGGTGGTGATCGTCGGGGCGCTCTGATTTCATGACAGGTGCAGTGAATCGTCGTGACTTTGGGACATGTGGTTCGTTTGCAGATTTCGTGGCAGGCGTAGTACTTTGTGGACCTTGCAGCGCAGATTTCGTGACAGGCGCAGCACTATAGTGAACCTCGAAGTGTAGATTTCGTGGCATGCACAGCACTTTGTGAGCTTCGAAGTGCAGATTTCGTGGCAGGCGCAGCAGTTTGTGAACCTCGAAGTACATATTTCGTGGGATGCACAGCACTTTGTGAACCTCGAAGCGCAGATTTCGTAGCAGACCCATGTCCGAACCGAAATAGGTCAGTTCCAGTCGATATGATTCATCACTTCTTGGGCGCGCGCCGTTGTACATTTTTTCTTTGGTTTTTGGCACATTATCCCGGCAAGAGACCCCAAACAGTGTGTGTGAGGTCTAGAGGCGTAGCAGAAAGTGATGGTGGTGATGAAGGTGGAGGTCGTGGTGATGGTGGCGGTGGTGGTGAGTGTGACTGTGACTGTGAGTGAGAGTGAGAGTGAGAGTGAGAGTGAGTGCGAGTGTGAGTCACCCTCAGTGTGAGTCACCCTCAGTGGCAGGCACTCTGCCTGCCACGAAATCTGCACTTTGAGGTTCACAAAGTGCGGTGCGTGCCACGAAATCTGCACGTTGAGGCTCACAACGGGCGGGTACTCGTGCTTTTAGGTCAACCGACAAATCATGACAGCACTGATAGCACACTCATTAAAAGCCAGACCAGGTCTTAGAAGTTTTGGAATGCATAATGAGTGAAGCCAACATGGTTTCAATATGCTGCACTGCCAGCCAGTAAAAGAATAGCCAAAAGGCTTCACTTTGGACCCGGGTGGACCAATCGTTGTCACGACTGTATGTACATTATATATATATATGTTATATATATTAAATATATATATATATATATATATCCGCCGACCCCTGCCTAGCTGATGCCTAGGCAGGGCGGCGCCCGGGACAGCGTAGTGAGAAGCGATTGCCACCTACTGCCGCCGTGGACTTCTCTGCAGGGGGTTCCGAAGGCGACGCTAGCACGCCTGCAGCCTGGGGTTCCGAAGGCGAGGTTAGACACTGGCAGCGCTCGCGCGCTGCTCCGTTCAAACCTTCAGGGATCGAGGTTTTGGCACCCTCCAGAGCACGCCTCCTTCTCTACAAGGGGCTCCGAAGGCGACGCTGGCACGCCAGGCGGCCTTCAGGGCCAGGGTGTGAGTGCACCAACGGCACTTCTGCGAGTGATGACATGCTGGCGAGTCTGACATGCTGGACTGTGAGTGCACTCTCTCTCCACTGGTCCACATGCCCCCATTCAGTTCCACACAAGGTGGGCACTCCTGGAAAATAGGGGTCGGCGGCACCAGGGCGTCAGCCCTTTCTATATAAATCCGGGCGCCGGCCACGCATCCCCCCGTCACCCTGGCAACATAGGCCAACAACCCTCGCAACAGAGGCCAACGTACGGATAGGATGACATAATTTGGGGGAACACGTTGCGAAATGGATGCGGTGATGGATGTGAGATCGTTTTCGAAGGCCCGTGGTGCGAGATATGCTGCCCGAGTGCCCTGGCATTATTAGCATTTTGTTCTTTTGCTTGCTCTCTGGCTCTTTTTCTTCTGAAATTCTATGTGCTTTATGGTGTTTTCGGGGTTACACAGTTTTGGGGGTTGCGGAGAGAATCGTCTGGATTGAACCTGTGCGAAAACCATGTGTTTTACAGTGTCTGCGGGGCTGCGAAGAGACGCGTCTGGGGACATGTCGGCGAGTCAACCTCAACAGGACAGTCGGCCTCCTCCTCGCGTCGCGGGGGATGCTGCCGGGGTCTCCCACCCGTGTCCCCCCATCCCCTTCCTTCTCTCTCCTCCCTGCCCCGGCCGGCGCCCGGCTGTCAGGCGTAAGCCCTTAAATACGTCCTGGAACCCATTTGACCTCTGTTTTGATGGAAAAAGGACTATAAATTGGTGGTTGGTGGTCCAAAATAGAGGTCATTCAGGTTCTAGGTATACTTAATATCAAGTATATGTCAATATGCTTCACGTCGTTTTGGAAACTCTCAACTCTGTCCTGTGTGCCAAGCTGCGCTGGATTTCTCGGCCATTGCTCTCATTGAAAATGCTCTCGACGGCTCGTTGGGAATTCCCCAGTGCCAATTGAAGCTGTGCGATGGCAAGCCTTGGCTTAAAGGCTCGCCCTCCAACAAACACGGATGTAGTTTAGTATAGTTTAGTACTACACCCCCTTGCGCAGTGTGCAGCAGCTTTTCGAATGGCCCACACGCCATGCGCCATGCCCCACCACCGTCACCATCACCGTCACCTGAGAAAATCGTTCCTTGACCGGTGGAAAAAACCCATCAGCCATCCAGCGAGGCCTGGTCATTCGTCATGGTCTTCCCACTTGGATTGTCTTATGGAAGCAGGAAAACATAAAAAAAGGGGACCTATATAACTGAACATATAAAAGCACATGATTTGCAAAACCAGGTCCTCATGGTCTGGTCTTCCTTTCGGATCAAGGGCAGCGTCTCAAATCCTTCCCTCGGCAGCTGCAGTGAAATATGACAAAACATAAAAGAAAAGGAACATAGCCCACAGCGAGTTGCTTTTGGGACTCGATAATCGTTTCATTGCGCTTCTGCACGAACTCCTTCTCCTGCAGCTGGTCCTAGACCAACGTGTTTGGGCCGAAGACCGACCACCGCCGTTCCGACCGACGTTCCGGTCCTACTCCCGGAACGTCGACCGACCATGCGGAACGCTGGTGACCGGTGCCGCTGGCTTCAACCGTCGCCGGGTGTCGGCGATCGATCTCGGGTTCCGATCATGTTCTTCTTTACCGGCTGTGACAGGTCAAGCCGGACAGACCCGTTTTTTCCGGTATATCAAACAGAAGGACATGGCGGAACAACACCAACACCGTCGAGTTTGGCCTTCCAAAGCTCAAACTCGAAGGAACTACGTTGAAGGGTGAAATACTGCGAACTACTTCATCCGTCTGTAGCCTTTTAGAATTGCGAAGTAGGAAAAGAAGTGGGACACCTGTTTGGCCCAATGAGCTGTGTTCCTCAGTCCTTGAGAAGATCAATCTCCGTCTTCATCTGGAGCTTGGCCTCCCAGCAGCCATCGCATGTTCAATGACTGCGGTGATGTCTACCTGGAAAACTATATACAGCTTCCCTTACCCAAACAACAGGTTTTCCATCGTTTTCCTGCAGGTGTTCATAGTACAATATTCTATGTCAATTTCTGGGCATAACAGGGTGTTAAGCACCCATTGGAGTGAAGTAAAGGCTACGTGACTGGTGCGCTCATTGGTGGCTCTCGGATTTGGAGGTTCAAACGCATCAAAAACCTCTAGTCTCACTGACCCACCATAAGTAAGATCCTTCACCAGAAAATAGCAAACCAACCAACTCGCGCCAATTCAGTGCAGAATTGCTAAACCTCAAGCCCCACCAAAGAACCCTGCATTTCTGCACCGACTTGGCGCTTTTTGATGCTTTCTGATGCTTTGTGTGTCAACGCACCATTCCTCCGACCAGGGGCACTGAAGCCACTGAAGCCACGGGTCACCGCTCCGGCACCTCGTCCGAGCGTCGGAGCTTCTCTTCCAAGGCCTCGATGCGCCTCCGGATGGCAGCGGCGTTCCAGGGAGATGTTGTTCGGATTTGGAGGTTTTTCTGTTACAGTGGTTTCAGAGGTTCGATGGCACAGACCCCAAGATGTCCTTTATATAGGGGTCCATATAAACCACCGACATTGGGGTCTGTGCCATCTACTCTCAATCCACTATAATTGATCAGTACGTGAAACAGTCCGACTGCACCAATAAAATGCGATGATGTTTCCATCCAGATGATCTACTCGAGGGTTGCTCTTCAACCCTTTTCCCGTTTTTACCGGCAGGAGGCGTCTCAAAGGGCCACGTTGATAGCCTCACATAGGGCCACGTAGCGGTTCAAAAAGCCAGACGGAATTTCTGGTTCCTACGAGTACCCTCAGCACGAGCCAAAGGACAAAGGGCATGGAATAGGTAGCAGTGGCAAGGCCGAAAGGCCTGGCTCTGCAGCCATGAGTGTCAAGATAGTTCGAGATAGATTGGGAAATGGTCCTATGAGCACACCGCTTTTCCGTTGGCTCCAGCCAGCCGGTCACGCTTCCGGATTCGTCACGCCGCCGTTCTCGGTTCCAGCGAATTCACGTCGCGTTCGTTCGACTCGGGGGGGGACGTTCCGCACCCCGAGGGCGTCGCAAAGTGGACATGTCTGTGCAAAGGCAAGATGGAGAAAACCCTGGACAAAGTGAACCGAAACCTCTTCAGGTTGGTCTCAAGTTGGTTGAAAACTACCGGCCATTCGACTGCAGCTACGGGTGGATGTCTAGTCAAGAATCACTCATCTCTTTTCCTTTGCCGGGCCTTTGCTGCTCCTTGATCTCTCCCAAATGATGGCAGGAATGGGAATAGTCCTCAGATCTTTCAGGAGTACAGCAGTCTGAGAGCCCAAAGAACCGAGAAAGCCACCGAAGATCGGAGCCAACAAATCCGATCACTTAGTGGTGGTTCAGCTAGAGTCCTGTTCCAACTTCACATTGATGAATCAAACACCGCTACCAGTGGACCAGACGGGTGTATATGATCTATATATATATGCATATATCATATATCTATCTATCTTCATAATTATTCATCAACATTCCACTGATTAGAGATTTGATGGGTCTGCTGCGCAGAGTGAACTTCCAACGCTCATCAAACAAGTAGATCTTTGGAATTTACAGCGGGGGCAGGCCTTCCTGTGGCCAGTTGGGGAAATAGGGGTCCAGGTCAGTTTTGCGTTGTCTGGCCCTGAAATGGGTGCGAGGCCGTTAGAAGTCACTCAACTGCAAAAGTGTGCTTTCTCAGCCTTTCGGCTAGGATCTTGCAGCTTCTCCACGTGGCCGGAGACATTGACTGGATATCCTCTATATCTCTTCACCTCGTCCCGGCCACGCAAGCGATCTTGGATGCTCCCTGCAAAAGCCATAGCACAGTATGGTGCAGCAGCGAGGTGTTGAAGGGCTTTGAGTTGATTTACAGGCCAACCAAAAATAACACATCTTGCTATATATTGAATTATTAGAACACTCACACTTACTGTTGTCTCACTGTCCATAGGGTATTCTAACATGTTCTAACATGTTCTAAGTGCTTCGATATATTATGAACACCCTGAACTCGGCCAACATGCCAGGTTCAGAAATCAGAGTCTCATAGGATCCAAAGCTATTCAGTATAGAACTTGATTTGAAAGATTCCATCAACAACTGGCTTGTCTTCGACTGTAGACCCTCGACGGTCTTTCTAAGTTCAAGAGACTCTGCAACTCGCAACGGGGCGCGCCGATTTGCTGGAGCCACGAGCGGGGCGGATGGAGCCATGTTCATCCAGGTCGATCCAACCCTTCCCCACCCACCGAGGTTCAGGTTCAATCCGATCACAAGGCAGTTTCTCGACGTCAAACTCTGAAGAAGTCCAGGAAATTCCTGTCTTCACTACGCGAATAGTGGTGCAAACATCCCAAGCTGACGATGCACTGACGATGCCTGACGGACTACAGTAAAGCAGGCTTGAGAGTGTCAAAGAACATGTTACTGCTTTTGGTCTCTAAATCTATCTCAGCTAGCAAGCCAAGACTTTCAGTTGTTTTCGGCCTGCAAACCCAGTGACTCCAGGGTCTCAGAACAGTTGATGCTCCAAGCCAATAGGTCTTTTGACCAGATTCTCTCAAGTTTCCACCTCTAAAGCTGTCCCCCTTCTCATGCGTTTTCACCCTTAAAGCCATCTTTGCCCGTTCTCCACTTGCTCCCGTTCTCCAAACCGGACCAACGGGTCGGCACCCGATCCGGACGCCCCACCAGGACCGGTGGGTCGTGCCCTCCCCCCTGCGGAAGTGGACAACCCGTCACGGATTCCAGGTCCATCATGAGGCCTTTTCAGGGAGTGGAGATGAATCGATTCATGATGGAAGTTAGGGTATGTCATTTGGAATCGATTCATATCCACTCCCTGAAATTTAGGGCAAACACAGCCCATGATCTATGGTGTGAAGTTAGGGCAAACACAGCCCATGTTTGAGTTTCCACATTCGAGAAGCTTCGTGACAGATTTGTGCTGCATGGGGAGAACGTGTGTTGCAGACAAATGCGCATCTGATTTTTGATCAAACGCGTCTGCAGCGATCACTCAAGCATAGGGCCTGAATTCCACGATGGAAAAGCAGCACCCGTGGGTGGAAACAACCGCTCAGAGCAGCGCTGGAGTATGCGGAAGTGCCTGGCGTTCTTTGTGCATGGGACCCACTGTCCACAGCAGAAGGCTGAGAGCAAAAACACCACCCCGGCTGCTCTATCATAGCTTATTTATCCGAGCCAATCAAGATGAAATGGAGTTGGAAGCCAGCTGGAACAGTTGAACAGGTTGAACATCGCTCAGTTCCTGAACTTTCAGTGTCCTTGGCTTCGAACGCGGTCAGCCTGAGGATTTCTTGCCATGCTCACTCCCGCAAGTCACGCTCTTAGGCATCAACTCTATTCCCGGCAGTCTGCGCAATGTCTTTTTCGGCCCAAATCAGGACGTCTTGTCCCAGGACGTCTTGTCCTTCGTTCAACACGGCGATTTGTCCACATGGACTGATGTACACTCACAGAGCTGTGACAGCTCCGCTTTTGGAGGCTCCTTCGCCGCGATGCTTTTGCTCCTCACCGCCTCACCTCATCCAGATCCTCACTCCGACCGCCAGCGCTCACGAAGCAGCGAAGCTGACCCCCGTGCGGGGTGGTGGAGCTTTCAAAGGAGCCCTGCAGCACTGCAGTCACCTTCCTCAGATTCGGATGCGGCCCGGTGGGTGCAGCAGAGGAAGCCGCTTGGGCAAATTCGTCATGAGCTGGGACTTGTGGGGTAGGGGGTACACTCCCTATCATAAAAGCATATTAAAACCAGGTGGTTCTCCACTTCCACGATTATTTCAGGGAGTGTACAGTGTACCAAAATGGACATCGTGAAGCTATATCCATCTTTGTGCGTCAACCTGGTCTGCGAGGCGGCACGAAGCTCTGTGTGTGTGTAGCCTCTTTATTTCAGAAACATGAAAGTGGAACAAACCCAGTTCTTGAAAGGCTCATGGTCTTCTTGAAATCGCGCTCGCATGGATGGTTGTTTGGTGCAAAATGTTGCTGGGAGGTTTATCAATCCGCCGATATCCGTCGATGCTAGTTGCTTCACGATGCGGAGACATGTGAGATCATTCCATCCACTACACCAAGGCATGGAACTGATACATACTCATGAAAAGGCGTTCACCTGCCAAGCTGGACCGTAGCCACCTGTGTTTCTGAACACCCAATTCTGCGTCTCACAGACCATTTTGCCTTCTATCGGGTCTTGGAAAAAGTTCCAGCCGCTTCAATGGCAGACCTTCATTTCGTCTAAGCTTCAAAATGGCAAAGGCATTCCATACCAGCACCAATCGCTGCAAGCCCATGACGGCTGAAGTAGGCATAGCTCGTCCACCCAGCCGTGGCAGTCCTTGAAATCGGTGAAGACCATCGGTTGACTAACGCGTCGACACCCGAGTTACACAGGGGTTGATGATTCATCGACTTTTGACCTCGTCATGGAACAAATACTTTCTTCCCAGACGCTCCTGGACCCTCATATGCAGGGGTCTGGACCCTCAAAGTTTTGAGGGACCCAAGGGCTGTTTGGAGCGTCTGGGTTGAATGGAAAAACCTGGAAAATTGTCGAAAACGGGGAAAGACAGGGAAGTTGCAAAAAGTGACGCTGTGAAGGAACACGACGCACTCCTGGTAGAGCGGTGTGCCCTCTGGGAGGAGGCGGCTCGCCCCCGGCACGGCGGCGAAAGCCGAGTTCTTTCACCACACTCGCACACACACACACTCACAACCCTCATTAACACCCTATGTGTGCGAATTTGAGGGTCAAAACAGTGAAGGGATGATTCGGAACCTGAACGAACCCATTTTGGCAAGGCTGGAGACGAGTCGGATCATCTGAAAGGAAAGAAATCCTGAAATTCTGGCCCCAGACAGCAACAGGGTCCTAAAACCCTAAACCAAATTGAACGTTCGCGTTTTTGTCGGGCCCCCGAACCGACAAGTATACCGTTCCGCAGTGCGGATCTGGTCTCGTTTGGTGCAGATGATGGTCGGTCGGTTGTCCATCAGCGAAGGTTTCAACGAAGGGATATAGACCCATATAAGTCATGCATAGACCTCTTGGAATTACCCAAGCGCTCTTTTCAAGACGTAGCTGTTTTAGATTGTTTTAGTGGGTATAGGCGATTTTTGTGCTCACCTTTGCTAAGATTGGTAGCCAATCCGGTGTGCTTCTTGCTAATCTTCATACATATATATATATATTATATGCAATTGTCACAATTGGACATGATGTTCAGTTCGCCGATCATCAGTCGACATGGTTCAAAAGAGTGGCGCCAGCAGCCGAGTCATTTAATCACTCCAGGGAGCTGGCTTTTTACCTTTTTGTGACCCTTCGTTGCACTTGGGCACCCTGCAAGCCGCTTCCCGCTTGCATGGTAGCGGAGCCCGAAAGGGCTGTAGGATTTGACTTGTATAGCTACTAGGCGAGTTTCCCCTAGGAAGAAATGTCCGAGCGGATAGAGCGCAGCAAGGATGGTGTGCCTATGTGGCCCGAAACTACTCAATGAGTTGTCAGGGACGGCCAGAAGATTCGTCCTGTCGAAGAAGCCAGGCTGGGTCTCGCACAATGGTGGGGTTCAGACCTTGTTGGCGCATTTGCGTCAACATCTGGGTTTGCCGCAGCTCTCAGAGATGTCAGACTTCATGAGCAAGTACTTCAAGCAGAGCCGAAGGAAGAGAAACGAATCCATGAACGGATACGTGACACGGAAGGCAGAGCTGTATGCAAGAGCTGAGATGACCTTGAAGCGAGCACAAGGCCGCTCTGGTGCCAAGACCGGAACCACTGCACGCCCATCATCCTCGACAGGCCCCTCACTTCCCTGGGATGGCCAAGGGAGTTCACAACCAGCTGGAGATGAGGAGGCCATCTTCGAGGACGCAGTGGATGAACCAGAGCATTCCACCCAACATGATGAACGAGCCGTAGATTCAGGGACCTATGAACAACACAGTACACAAGACGGGTGGGCCTCTGATGATCCATGGAGGCAGTGGTATGGCCGACAATGGCAGCGGTCTTGGAACTGGCAAGACACCTCAGCACGATGGGATTGGTCAACTACCAATGACCAATCCCAAGTTGAGTCAGCACCCCATTCCGGCATCCAATTGTTGCCGGATTTTGTGCAAGGCTGGTTCTTGCTACAGGACTCCGGGCTGGACACCAACGAGAAGAACATGATCATTGCCGCCCTGAAAAGGAAACTTCAGCCTTAGCAGAGTTGCACAGGAGCTTCGTAACCAATGGAATGAAGATCTCAAGAGAAGGGATCAAGGAAGTCGCAGCACAGCTTGGTGGGCCGACGAGGCAAACACCGTCAATGACCCCTTCGCCGAGGACCAGGATAGCCCCGACATGGCTTGGTTGATTCACTCTGGATTGAATGCCGATGGGATGGCATTGATCAATGAAGCTGAATCTGATGCTCAAGAGGCTTTAGCCTTGGTCGAAAAAGGCCGACGCACCCTAGGCGAAGCTCGTGCAAAGCAACACTATGTGAAGTTGAGCCGTCAGTACTACGGGCCTCCTCATCGGTCTGTGGGTACTGGCCGCAGTGACAGTTTTGCGCGGAAAGAAACCGCTGGTTCCACCCCGGGCTCAAAATGCCTCAGCTGTGGAGGGAATCATCGTACCGATGAATGCCCCAAGAAGCCAAGAGCACACGTGACCGTGGCAGGACAAGAACCACCATCAGATCAGGCACCCTTCATCTGCATGACCAATCAAGTGTTGACCGCAAGCACCTTCCAGTCTGGCCAGGAGCGTCCGACAACCTACGAAGCTATGGTGCAAGGAAAAGCAGTGGTGGACGGTGGTGCCACCCGCACACTGGGCTCGGTCAAGGCAGTTGAGCAGCTGATGCAATTGAACCAACAGGTGCACGGGGACGCTCGTCTGGCAAAGCTGGATGTGTCCCAAAGACCAGTTTTTGGGTTCGGGAATTCCTCCAGTGACCAGTGTTTGTCAACGGCGTGGATGCGCATCCAGGCCGAAGGCCGTGATGGCGAGCTCAAAATCCATACCCTGGATAAAGGCACTGGTCCGATTTTTTTTCAAGTGAGACTTTGCGCGCACTAGGCGCCATGATCGACTTTGAACACGACCTGATCGTGTTCAGAAAACTGAACAGAGAGCGAGTAATTCAGATGGAGCAATCTAGCTCCGGCCACCAGTTGATTCCCGTCACTCAGGGTGGTACAAGAACTCGCACAAGACTCAGGCACCCGTCCCGAGTCTCAAGGACCTCATCTAGGGACAGCTCCTCTCTGACCTGCGGTCTGCCAGGGAAAGAGAGGTGCCAAGTGCGAGTGCAGGCAAGTGTTTGAATCCAAGGGATGCACCCTTCAAATCTCCCCCCAATGATGAAGGTTTTGAGAAGTTAGGTGAAGATCGTTGTTTTTGTAAACACGGACATGAGAGTCACGAATCCGATCGTTCGTACAAACCACAGCAACACACAAACCACATCAACAAACATTCAACATACATGGCGGCAGCCTCAACAGCTCAGGATCCAGGCATTCCTCCACCGCCACCGTTTGATCCTCCCCAGATTCCTCAGCGCAATGCCCAAGTCCATGACCAAGGCCGAACTTACTCAGGCCCTGATTTCCTTGGGAGAGACACCTCCCAAAAGCTGGACCGTGAGAGAACTAGAGTTGCGCCTTCAGGAACTCAAGCAGGAGATGGGCATGGTGGAAGAACCAACTTCCGTCAAGAATCGAACTCCTCTTCGCCAGATGCAGTGGACCTCAACAGAGCCAGCCGGAAAAAGGCAGACCTGATCGAGCACGTGAAGAGCCTGGGGGTGACTGTCACCGGGACAGAAACAATCAAGGTTCTCCAGACTCGCGGCATCCAGGCCGTGTACGATCAGTCAGTCCCATCGGGCGAGGATCTAGTGGGCTTCGGTCTTCATGCGGCAAAGAGCTACGAGGAGCTCTACCAGCAGGAGAAGAGCTATGTCCAGTGGATGCTCAGTGAACCCTCGTTTTGCTCGCCTGGCCTTGTGGCTGATCAACCGCCAGAAGCTAGACAAAGAGAAAAAGTGACAGACATCCCAAGCGGCAGCTACTGGAATGGTCAAGACTCCCTATACGACCAAGCCCTTGATCGAGACCTCAGGCACATCATCAAAGTCCGCTCCCGAGAACACAGAGACTCAGGAGATGAAGATGATGATCCAAACGCTAGCCTCATCAGTGTCGGATCTCAAAGAGGAAGTCCAGAACCTCCAGGAGGAAAAGCCTCGCAAGGGAAAGAAGATGCTGTCATCCGAGTCAGCCGACAGTTTCAAGCTTTTGGATCAGCCATCAATGGCTTGAGCCACGAAGATTCATTTTCCGGGAACTCTGAAGTGGTAGGTGAGGAGGAACCCAGGGGTTCGAGTGTTTGTAGGATGTCCCCCGGTTGTGGTCGTGGTTTGAAACAGTCAGTGGATAACCTTCTCCCTGAGACCCTCCAATCCTTGGCACTGTATGACAGAGTTCACCTTGTTGAGGTGGCATGCAGTCAAGACAGCGTGCTCACTAGAACGATGAACGACCTGACCGGCAGTGAAAAGGCAGCCGGGCGCTTGTCAATCTGGAATCAGTTTGATTTAAGCACAGACCAAGGGGTTCGTGGAGTGTTGGATATTGTTGACAAAACACGACCCTCACATGTCTGGATTTCCACGGAATGCGGACCTTATTCTGTGATGCAAAATATCAATCAGAGAACGGAAGAACAGAAAATGGACTTGGAACTGAAACGAAAGGAAGTGTTGAAACAATATGTTGGAGCGGCTATTGTTTTTAGCTATTGCGCGCAACGCGGCATCCATGCGACATGGGAATGGTCACAGTCATGCATGGCTTGGCGTCTCCCTCTTGTTCAGCACCTCTCCCAAAAATACGAAGTTTTCTTCGCCGTGATTCGAGGCTGTCAGGTCAATCTCCCGAAACAAACATGGTGATTTCATTTCGAAGGGATGGAAAATCATGACGACTAGTGAGATCATGAGTAAACGCATGAGCCTTCCATGCCAGTGTGGCCCGAAGACCGTTCATGTCCCATGCAAGGGAGCCCTCACCAAGAAAAGTGCCTTCTATACTCCCGAGATGGCACAAAGAGTTTGTAAGGTCATCCTGCAGGGGGAAATGAAACAAACGGTGGAAAAGATTCTTTGGGGAAAACACATGGAAGGGGAAATATTTGGAAAGGGAGGTTTCTGTGTGTGTCATGATTTTCATGTTCATGAAACGAATTTGACTTGTGGACACTGCCGCGAATCGATTGGGGACGTGCTGGCCGCGGACGGGGACTGGGGACCATGTGGGCTTGGTAAGGAGGAAACCAATAGGAAACTGTACCTTTTGCATGCGTCTACTGGTCATGGCCCCCTTCGGTTTTTGGTTCAGGCCTTAGAAAGGAAAGGAGTTCACCCGGAAATTCTGAAGGCCGCTCGAGAGTTTCGTTGTGTGGTGTGTGAGGAACGAAGTCGACCCCAACCTCGGAATCTCGCGGCTTTGGAACCGCAACCTCCCAAGTTTGATACGCTCACCGCGGACGTGGGCCATTTCAACCACCCCATCTCTGGTGAACATTACCAATTCTTGTTGATGGTGGATGAAGTCTCGAGGTTCAAGGTGGCTAGGATTATCCTTCATGGAAAAAAGAAACATATATCGGCAGGGCAGTTCCTTTCCGTGCTCAAGGAGGCTTGGATATCCTACTTCGGCCGACCTCGTACGTTAAGGGTAGATCCGGATGGTGCCTTCCGCAGCCATGAGTTGAGTGAGTACTGTGATAGAAATCACATTTACTTGGACATCATCCCCGGTGAGGCTCACTGGAAATTGGGAGTGTGTGAAAAGGGTTTGCAATCAGTGAAGGAGCTCCTTCTAAAAGTGTTCTTGGAAATTCCCGACAGCACACCGGAAGATGCCCTCGCTGAATGCGTGAGAGCACTCAACTGTCGGGAAGTCGTAAGAGGATATTCACCAGTACAACATGTCCTGGGTCGAGCTCCCGACGATGCTGGCAGATTTTTCACTCCTAGTCAAACACCATCACCAGATTTGATGGTAGAGTCCCCAGCGAGTGAGCATAAACGATCTGAGACACTTCGTTTGGCAGCAGAAAAGGCAACGATTGAGTCGAGCATTGAATTCAAAACACCGCCGAGTACTGAATTTTTCAGCCGGTGACTTGGTATTTGTGCGGAGAAAACAGGTGACTGGTAAAGATGCTCAACCTTCAAACAACACACAGGGTCGCTTTGTTGGACCAGCCCGCATCTTGGCAACAGAACAACGAAGAGACGCCTCAGGAAATCTCCACCCTGGATCTTCAGTGTGGCTAGTCAGAGGCCGGCGACTCCTCAAGTGCAGTCCAGAACAACTCAGACATGCCTCGGTCAAACAGCAATTGGACTGAACAGCTTCCAGAATCAGCATTTCTGGGCAGATCAAACAGCAACCGTGGCTATAGAGATCGAAATGCCTGGAACCCATGGAGCCTCCAGTAAGGCATTCAAAATCCTGGAGGCCTATTTGGCGTCAGCCCTCAAGAAAAGAGCAGTCGAGATTTCAGAGAAACGAATGACACCAGAAGAGAAGCAGAAATTTGATGCCGCCAAAAACGCTGAGGTCAACAACTTTTTAGCAGCAAAAGCATTTGAGGCTCTTCCACCACACTACAAGGCTCGTCGAGAAGATGCAGTCAGGATGAGGTGGATCCTCACCTGAAAGCCGCTTCCAGAAGGAGGTGCAAAAGCAAAGGCCAGGGCAGTGCTGCTAGGGTATTATATGGACCCTTTCTATGAGCAACGATCAACCACTTCACCAACGACAACACGACAGACCAGGCAAATACAGTTGACAATAGCAGCTGGCAGAGGTTTCGCAACCAGAAAAGGAGATGTGACTGGCGCTTTCCTTCAGTCCAGACCATACCCCGAGGAGCTCCTCTGTATTCCCTGCCCTGAAATGCTCAATGTTATGGGATTACCGCCTGAGACCATCACGAGGGTGAAGAAGGCCTGCTACGGATTGGTCAACACACCACTGGAATGGTATCGTTCAGTCAGCCAATTCTTCGATAAACTGGGCTTGAGAAGATGCTGGTCTGACCCGTGCTGCTGGGTATTTGTCCATCAAGGTTGTCTTCAAGGTTTGATATCCGGCCACGTGGCTGATTTTGTCTTTTCAGGAAATGAACAGTGCAGTGCTTGGAAGGACATCATAGCATCAATTCAAAAGGAATACAAATGGTCAGATTGGGAGACAGGCAGCTTTGTTCAATGCGGAGTGAAGGTGGAACAACATCAGGATGGTTCATACTCACTTTCACAAGAAGCATATGTTGACGACTTGAAGTATATCAACATTAGAGCACACCGCAAGAAAGACAAACATGCCAACACTGACGATTTGGAGAAGAGCCAACTTCGAACCTTGTTGGGTGGCGTGAGTTGGTATGCGCAGCAGGTGGCACCACACTTTGCCGCAGAAGTGGGACTCCTCCTGTCCGAAATGACCAAGAGCACCATAGACACCTTGGGAAGAGCAAACAAGCTGATGCACCAGGTGAAAAATATGAAAGATCATCGACTATTGATACCAAAGTTACCATTGCACAAGGTAAGACTTTTTGCATGGTGTGACGCAGCAGCAATCAACAGAGTCGATGGCAGCAGCACACAAGGAATCATCATAGGGGCCTCCAGCCTCGATTTGCTTCAGGGAAGTGATGAACCTATATCACCCTTGTTTTGGCAATCCTCCAGCGAAGCAGTTGCAGCAGTAAACACTGAAGATGCATTGTTTTTCTGCAGGTTCCAATGGTCAGAGATGATGGGTCATGAAGTGGATGTGCGACAAGTGAACCACCTTGTGAATCAGGTGGCAGGCTGTGTGATCACAGACTCCCGCAACGTATACGACAAGGTGAACAATGAGGTGATTTGCACAAAAGGCAGTGAGAGAAGAACAGACTTGGACCTCCTGTCTCTCAAACAAGCACAACAGCGGAACCACGTCAAGATCCGCTGGGTACACTCAGAGGCTCAACTGGCTAACTCACTCACAAAGCATGAGATGAAACAGCTGTTGATGTTTTACGAAGTGAAGCAACGCTGGAAGATAGTTAAAGACATATCAATGGCATCGGCCAGAAGGAGAAGAGAACAAGGAAAACTTCCTTTGGAGAGCGACAACACCACAACAAGCAACAACTCACAAGACAAGCAACAAGACCAGGAAAGTGACTCGCATGAGTGATGGTGGTGTGTTTTTCGATTTGTTCAAAGGAGCTAATTTGAAAGGTGCATTCCCAAAGAACAGGGAACAGGCGGCATGCAATTGTCACAATTGGACATGATGTTCAGTTCGCCGATCATCAGTTGACATGGATCAAAACAGTGGCGCCAGCAGCCGAGTCATTTAATCACTCCAGGGAGCTGGCTTTTTACCTTTTTGTGACCCTTCGTTGCACTTGGGCACCCCGCAAGCCGCTTCCCGCTTGCATTATATATATTACAATATATTGTGTATAATCGGGTCAGAGTCAAAACCCATGACCATCCAGAAAGTGGACTTGTCCATTATTCCCGTGATTAGGTGAGGCTTTTGACCATGACCGAGCAGCAGAACAATCGCCAACAAGACCAAGGGCTGCCAGGTGCCTTGGGTGGCTGCTGGAATGCTCAGCTTATAGCACTGATCCGTCACGCGCTTCTCGAATCCATCTCCTAGAAAAGAGGCATGAATCATGTTGTCCACCTCAATCAGAAAGCACAAGGCCTAGGTGTCAGACAATTCTTGGGTGGACAGGACACCATGGATTTGGGGATGTGTTCCCCGAAAATACCTCGAGCCATGTACAGCAAATGTATCAACCCAGACGCTCCGTTCACAGCTCGACTGGTACCTCAAAACCCTAGGGATTTGAGACCCCAGACCCCTCCAGAGGATTCGGGTCCGACCCCTCCAGAGGATTCGGGCCCAGACTTCGCGTCGAAGGTCGCAACACTTGGGCGCGTAGCTGGGCAGACCGAACCGGCGTTCCGACCCCCCTGGAAGGTTGGGAAACTAGGCCAGTCTACTCATTGGTGCAGGGACCCACCGGGGTGTCCCCATTGAAATACACACCCACTTCTGCTCCCGAGAAACTGTGCTGTTCAAGACCAAGTCTTGCAAGTTGTTGGTCGCTGTGAGAAAGTTGGCCCCAACAACCAGGATCACCACGGCTATCACAAGCCTGGAGCGCTCTTGCGCAACGATCCGCTTGAAAAAAGCATCCTTGTCTACCCAGTGTAGACTAGAGTGTGAGCAGGTATGGAGGGGTTGGGAACTTGCTGGAAGCCTTACAACACTGTGACACTCCTTCTCCAACCAATTCAAACCATGTCCAAACCCAATCCATCGAATCCAACATCTCCCATTGGTTTTCCCTCCAAAAAAAGGGCCGCTGCTTAGGCACTAAGCACCTTAAGCACCTCTTATATAAGAGGTTTTCTTTTCCAAGCACCGGTCCTGGGAAATCCGACGCAAGCCATCGCAAAGACCTTGTGGCTTCTGGGCAGCGACTTCACCACCATCTTCCCATGGTTTCCGATGGACGCGAAGCCCGGATCCTCGGAACACACGCGGGTCAGAACACACGCGGGAGACCCGACCAGCGGACGGTCGAGGAGCGAGCGGTATTTGGTGGGTGGTTTCAGGCAGCTTGGCCATCATCGCCTTGGTTTCCGGGCGCCTGCCCAGGTGAGCTATCATCCCTCATCCCCTATTGACAGATCCTTTGACCGAAAACATGAGCTATCATTGCGGTACATGATCAATTCTTTGGTGGGTCAAAGTTTAGCATGAGGCAGCTTCATGCAAAAAGATCGCATTTGCATTGGGGAGCCTCGCCCTTCCATTGGGGAAGCCGAGATGATGTTTCGTGATTTTTGAACGTTTCCTGAAAAAGGCACAAACATCTAAGAATCCAAGAACCCTACTGTAGATGGATTTCATGATAAACCCTAGGATGGCTCTGCTGTCTAAAACCACCAAGGCTTTTGCGCCAAGAGTTCAGAAGTTGCTTCTTAAGGGGTTGAATATTTTGTCCATCCACTGAAGCTCATGTATTGTATATTTCCTGGGCTGACAGCGAGGGTTCAAAACACCCAAGACGGCCTCTGCCATCAGGAATTTGCGGCCTTTGTGTGCTTCGCTCACTTCACCAAGGAGCTTGTTGAAGGAGTGTGCCAAACTACCAACAAGAAGTTGTAGCAGCTTCGAAACTCACTGACCATCAGCATGCCCCAAATGAAGAGCAGCAAAACCAGAAAGGACACGAAGGTTCTGCCCAGAATCGAATCAGGTTCCCCCTTGTAAATGCTCACTGCATCATAGGTGACCACATTCACCCCGTCCCGCAGCTCAAAAGAGGGATCCCCGCAGAGCTTGGAGGTGGTGTAGTGAATCCAGCGATAATCCGAGCCATAGAGAGGCAAGCAAAAGTGTTCGAAGTTCCCGATGCACTCCCGGACTCGTTCGTCCGCATCATCCACGTCTGGCAGCATGTCTCGAAGCTTCCCATGCGCCGCCAGATTGCCACAAATATTCGGATCGGTGGGCAGGCACATCTTGATCCTCCCTCGATAATGTCGAAAAAAATCCATGTCCAAGTGGCGAAAGTGCTTGGGATCACTCCTGCAAAAGCGGTGCGACACGAAGGCTAACGCTCGAAAACCAATCAACCCACCGTCCACAAGTCGAGGCTCGCTTTGGAGGTCTGGGAACAACCCCTTCACTGAAGGATCATTCAAACATTGACCCACTCCGCTCCTAGATCTGAATTTTTCAGCCCATCACAGGACTCATGACAGGATGCCCAAAATAGGGAATCAAAATAGGGTCGCAGGTTTGAAAACCAGAGGTCGCACCTGGAGCCAGGCCGGTGATTGAAATCATACTTGGCCATGCGCAGCAGATTGCCTTGGATGCGCAACCTCTCCCAAAAAACGGAGGCAAACAATTACATTACTTCGAGTGATCCCCACCCTGAAGGGCGACTTGTGCGGCTTGACACGATGTTCTGACGCTGGTTCTGGCATCATCAAGGCTGGGAAACTGGACTGTGTTCTGACATCTTTGCTTCCGCGTGTTCTGACATTTTTGCTGTCTGACATGTGCCGTGACATATGCACCAACTTCAGTCCTCGTATGTGATCGGACATGTATTCCGACATATGTTCTGCCATTCAAGATATCCTGGCATTCTATCTGGCATAAAACCAGACATTGCATCTGGCATATACTCTGGGTCCTATCTGGAAAAATTGCCGGCACTCTATTCATAACTACTTGCATTTTATCTGGCATCACTGCTGGCGTTCTAACTGGCATATACTCTGACATTCTACTTGGCAAGTACTCTGGCATTTGCTTTGGCGTACATTCTGACAATCTGGCATATATTCTGACCTTCTATCTGGAATATATATATATATATATATTGACATTCTATCTGGCGTATGTTCTGACATTCTATGTGGCGAGGTCCGGCGGTGCCCACTCACTGAGATCTGGAGCTGGTCGCTGAGGTCCTGCAGCGCCCACTGCGATCGGGGGCTGGCGGTTGAGGTCCGGCAGTGTCCACCGTGATCTGGAGCTGGCGGTTGAGGTCCGGCAGCGCCCATTGCGATCTGGAGCTGGCAGTTGAGGTGCGGTAGTCGAGACGACGAGGAGAAGAGAAGAGGAGAGGAGAGGAGAAGAAGGGGAGAAGAAGAGAAGAGGAAAGAGCTCTGATAAAATCTAACAACCCTCACCTGGCAGGTGGGACATAGAACATCTTCCCCAGAAGAGGATTCATTCTTATCCCATCATAGGATCATTGGGAAAATAACTAACTCACCTGAAGCAACACCAGGTGGCTGGAGAAGTTGGACGCCATGGCACTGCCCAAGTCCCGCAGCCGATCGGAGACCTCCTCCGCTTCGCCTGGCCCGAGATCGAAACGGGAAGCATCCGCCTAGGTCGAAAAGGGTGGACGATGAGTTTAGGAAATCAAAATCAAAGGTCAAGACGTTGAGGAAATCAGGGACATGAAAAGCGAAATCATATTGAATCATAGTGACACTCCGGGAAACCATGGAAGTGGAGTTCACCAAACGAATTTGGTATTCAGATTTCACCACCTGTTTGGTATCGAATTTCCTGCGCGTCGTCATGATTCTTTCAGGGAGTGTAGGTGTTGCGGAGCGCGGGGTGCTGAAAAGAAACATGAAGAAACAAATCTTTGATCCCCCTGTGTGACCTGCATTAAACTAAACATATCACTATTTCAGAGAAAAGGCCTTTACTGACCATAATCATCCACTGTTACTGGTAATAGGACAGACCGTGGGACATTGTCGGCTTTGAGATGGACGTTTGTCGTTTTGTGTTGTGAGATTCACCAGTGTCACTCTGAAAATATATCGAGCGCCGGCGTGATCGGAACCTGTGTTTACAGCTGATCGTTGGACTCGGTTTGCGCCCAAACCTACCCCTCTCCACTGGTCAAACATTGGTTTTGGCTCGTCAGACTTTCCAGGTCGAAAGCGGCCGGTGAACTGGCCCGAAAGGAGGCGAATGGGACTGGAAGAGTTACCATTCAATGGATGGGTCATATTCATGGGGTCAATTGTATGCATGTAACATCATGGAACTATTCCAATCCCATTCGTCTGGTTTGAGTTGGAAGAGTCATCATCTTTTTCACAAAGCGCAATCCAAAGAAACGCAAGAGATCTCTCCACAGATCTCTGACAGATCGTATCCTCCCAGAATTCTCCCTGAAGCCGCCTATGCACACCTTCTGCACATAAAATTAAAAAGTACTTATAAAAGTAGGGCACCTATGGGCACCTCATCCGATACAGCACCGTTGACCTCCATGACAGAGGCTTCTTAGATACTTAGCGCTTGGGTGGTCTGGGCTTGCGGAGAGTGACCCGGAGTCTGCGGAAACGCAATAGTAGACCGAAGTCACCGGCTTGCGAAAAGTCACCCGTGTATTTGTTGCTACATGTTGCAACACCATGGAAACGCTTGGTGTTCGATAACTGGTGTACATCAAGGTGTTATTACCCATGCCATGCTGCCAATGCAGCAGCATGTCACATGTTCGATTCCGCGCTCTTCCTCTCAAGCTGGGAGGGCGGGAAGCGGTGCTTGAGCCGGTTTGCCATGGACAGGGATCCACTTTCGAGCTTCGGAGAGCGCAGGGCGCCAGGAAAAGAGAACGACTTTGGTGGAGTGCAGGGCACTTGTTGTAGGAAAGAAACCTCATCAAACTCACCGAGGCGGTGTTGTTTTGCATTGTATTGTGTTAGCCCTTTTCGGAGCATCCAATACCAGTGCCGGATCCATTTGGGTTCGACATTGGTAGCGGAGCAGTTGGGCGATCACACAGGGAGATCCTGATCATTGCAACTGCTGGAAAGTTCGTGGACCATGCCAGAGGCCTCGAGTTCCGTCACGTTGGACACAGGTACCTCCTCAGCCGGGAATCAGCTAGCTTCACTGATTCCAACCTTCGACCCCGCGATCGACAATGTGGAGCAGTGGACACAGAAGATTGAACTTCTGACCCAAGTGTGGCCTGAAGGAAAGCTTGGTGAGCTGGCGACCAGGATCATTTTGAACTGCAAAGGTTCAGCGTTCGCTAAGCTACAATTACAGAAGAAAGACCTCCTTAGCGGAACAGTGGAAGGAATTTCACGAATTGTGGAAATTGTTGGAGGCCAATTTGGCCAAGTCAGCTTGGAAAGGAAGTTCGACGTTGTTGAAAAAGCCCTTTTCCGATGCAGCCAAAAGCAAGATGAAATCGCAGATTCCTATTTGGCCCGTTCAGAAGTGGTCTGGACAGAGCTGCTGATGAAGAAAATTAACCTCGCTGAGGTACAAGCATACATTGTACTACGGGGCAGCAAGCTCTCCATGGACGACAAGAAGAGGGTCTTAGTTGAATCAGGTGCCGAAGAAACAGGAAAAGAGCTGGAGATGAAACGAGTGTCTGCAGCAATCCGCATGCTGGGGTCGAGCTTCTTCCAGGAGTACACCTCAGGAAAGCGAGAGAAGGGACAGAAGACCTATGACCACATGGCATTTGGAGTTGATGACCATGAGGACCCCTGCGAGCATATGAATTGGGAACCCGAAGAAACGCTGGATGAGGAAGCCTTGGAAACCTTGGCCATGGAAGATGATGACGCTTCCCTCGTGCTCCACTTTGAGAACGCAGTGATGGACACCATCCAAGATGACAAAGAGTTGGCAACCTATTTTGTCAGCTACCAAGACGCCCGAAGGCGCCTTATGGAAAAGGCCCGCTCCCGAGGTTTTTGGCCATCAAAACCCTTCAAGGGAGGGAAGAAAGTCGTGGAAAAGGCATCAAAGGAAAATCAAAGAGCTTGGCGCAGAGAATCGCATCCTCAAACTGTCGTTTGTGCGGTCAACCTGGACACTGGAAAGCCGAGTGTCCTAACAAGAAGTCAGGGCCCAGCAATGAGATTCCTACATCGTTCGTCATCGATCTCGATTCATGCCTGCACGACATTCCCGAAGTCGGCCACGCCACTCCGACTCAGCATATCGAAGAATGTTTTACTGTTTTGGATGAAGCAGTAGTTCGAGTTCGCAAGCAATTAAAAGCCAAACTCCTGAACCTTGCCGGACTAAGGAACCCACGAAGTCTCATGAGCCCGTCGCTGAATGGTCAGCTCAGGAAGCCGTCAGGAATGTGGGAGTAGTTGATTTGGGGGCCTCCCAAACAGTGATAGGAAGCAAGCAGGTTCCGGAACTACTCGATAACATTCCCCCGAATATCAAGAAGCAAATTCGTAAGACAGCCTGCAATCTTACCTTCAGGTTCGGCAATCACCAAACATTGACCAGCAAGACGGCTCTGATCCTTCCGGTGCACAAAACATGGTTTCGAATCGCGATCGTCCCAGGCCCAACACCTTTCTTGTTGTCAAGCGCTTTTCTTCGATCCATCCAAGCAGTAATTGACACCGATAGTGGCACCTTGTGCAAGTACCTACACACCTATCTCGAAACCACCAATCTGCATCAAATTTGATGTTGCTGGATATCAATCAATTGTGGCCACAGGACGTTTCGCATGTCGAAGACATGGTGCAGGTACAGGGATCGAACAAGATCCATTCGCCTCAGACGGAACCGTCGAAACACCTGAAACCAAAACAGAACAGTGTTTTGCACCACAGGACAACCAGCCATCAAAAGTAATTAATTAAGACCGACCATTCCGAAAGGGAGTCTGATTTAAAGGACATAAGATCCGAAGTCAGCTACATGGAACCAAAGCACACGAGCTCTCAAGCTGTGACCCGGTCGTTCGAGATTTGGCAATCTAACCATGTCCAGCCTCCGTCAAAAGCTAACGATGAGAACGAGCAGGAGGAAATCCAGACTCTCGAGAGAATCCCCATGGCTCGTCTCAAAGATATGACCATCGCCTTCGGCAAAGCTTTGCCGAAGCCTTCGAGGACCAGAGCTGGACAAAATGGTTTGCGACCACCTACGAAAAGAGCCAGAAAATCGAACACCTCCAGTTCCTCCGCTATGTGAGCCTACGAGTGGAAGAGAGTGCCTCAAGTCAAGATCATCCACGCACGGCAGTGATCAAGGAGCCCACGTACTTGCGCCATTCTGCTCAAGGAGGTGGCTTGACAACTATGGCTCAGCCAGTGGATCCATGGGACCCCGAGGAACGCCAACTGGCAGAGGTCCTCGGCCAACAGGAACAACAAGAAGTCCGCCTGTCTCGCATCGAAGGTGCATTGAGCCAGATCATCCAGCACTTGGAGCAGAAGGGCGAGCCCCGACAAGAACCAGTCGGCCCATGGACGATGATCAAGGAGGAACCGAACTGAGTCCAAGTGAGATTGAGCATTTGTGCAATCTTAGCCAGGTCATGAGCTCTCTCGAAGACAGTAAGTATATGACTTCGAGTTCGCAAAAGGTAACCAACAAGCCTGCAACCAGATTTGCCAGCGAAACTTGAAGATGATCCAAGAAGAGTTTGAACAAATTTCTAAGATCATCCGGCCCCGGCCCAAGAGACATTTTCTGAACGAAGTCATGTGCTCTTCTGAGAGCGAGCTGACACGACAGGGCATCCAGCAAGGTCTACTTGTAAAACGTTTTGGAAAACAAGAAGGTGACCTGAGCACAAAAGTAGGACGTCGTAACTCGTTGCGCCACCTTGCCATGGACCGTCCTGAGCATGTTTGGATCAGCCCATCATGTGGACCCTGAGCCTGGTGCCAATGGTCCCACTTTAATATGAGCAAAAGTGCTGAACTCATGACCACGATTCTTAAAGATCGAAAGGAAAACATTTGGCAAATCAGTCTAGCCAGGTTCCTGTGTCAACACCAGGTCACTCACTCATCACCGACACTTTCATTGTGAACAACCGCAGGGATCAATGATGCTGAAATTATCGTGTTTTCAACCGATCCAACGGGAAACAGTACCAGGCACTTTTGACCTGTGCCAAGTCGGAGACTTGAGAGAGCCGATTTCCCAGAAGCCAATTCGAAAGCGATTGACTGTGCGCACCACCTCCAAAGAATTGCATCAAAATCTTCATGACCGGAAGTGTAATGAGAAACATGACCATTATCAGATTGCAGGGAGCACGAAGGTCCATGGTCAATCCATGCCAGTGTCACAGCTCACAGAACTGTATCCTCGGAAGTTTGCTCGGCAAATTATACAGTGTCTTCGACGCGACAAGAGCAAGAGCCTCGCCATGTTGGCGGCCGATGCCGAAGACCATCCGACCAAGAGACGACGTCTCAGCCAGAAGAGCAGTCTCTCCCAAATCCAACTGATGTCCGACAAAATCTCCTGGGAAGACATCATGAGGCAAGTTGATAAAGAAGCACCTCGAGTAGGACCACAAGTAGTTACTCAAGGGTTGA